AATTATATGGCGCTCATGTCGCCGACATCATAAATCACACACAAGACCCATTTATATATGAGATGTGCTCTTGTTGTTGTTGTTGTTGTTTGTTGTTCCTTTGACTTGAGGCATTTTTGGCACGTGACTTGAAACAGCGTCCATTTCAAACTCGTTCTGCCAAAGATTGACCATATATATAGTAAAAAAGAGAGAGCGAAGGAAAAATAATCGAGCACTTGATTTGTTCTTAATGGAAAGGCAGAAATATTTGAATTGTACGGGCTGCATTAACAGATTGCCAACAATTGTGGGTGGTTGGACTTGTCTATAAACAAAGCTAACGCTCAGAGTTTCGGATGTGAGTTGAATTGTAGAAATTGTAGTAAAAATACTGCAATACTGCGAATATTTCAAGTATAAATAGATACGTTGCCTTGGGCAAATCATTGATTATATATACGCCTGTAGACCGCTGTCAATTTTAGTCTGAAGTTTAATGTTTTTGCACGTTTTAAGCAAATTTAAGTTATGTGTATTCCTTCCTTATATCAGGAAGGTTGGGCTGTGTGTCTACGAGTATCTTGAGTCATCAACCTAAAACTTATCTTTCGACCAATTATTCGAATGGTAGTTATATGATATTGATATAAAGTATGTGCACTTTATGGGCGTAAAATATGACTCCTTCAATGTGTTATCACGACAAAATGATGACACCTTTTCCCAAGGGTATAATAATCACATTGAAATTTGAGTTTAAACCCATTTCCTTTTCTTCTTAACAATCTTATATTTTTGTTATTTTTATAAATCTTTAATATAAAGGGACTAGTAACTAATAAGGAGCGTTTTGCTTTAGCTTGGCAAACACAGTTTATCGACCCAAAATATTAACCCGGCTTTTGCCTTCTTTTGGGCTTATCATATGAGTAACAACTAATGGAATACAAACTCCTGCTCTCCTCACACCTCAATCTCACACACTTGACTCGTTAAACATGTTTACTAACTGGCTTTTACTTACCTTTGTCTAACTTTGGCAAGTTGGCCCAGAAGTTGGGGGCTTTTTGTGACTGTTGTGTTGTTTGCACTTGCGTGATTGGCATCCGTTTGCCATATCATCAGCATTATCATTATCGTCATTATCTACATCATAATGAGCATTGTCATGGATGGAGGCAATCAAAATGTTTAGCTTATGCCATTAAATTGTATTTTTATCAGCTTTTGCCCGCGATTGTCTTGACTATATCTCTCTCCCTTCTCTCTCCCTCTCTCTCCCTCTCTCTCCCTCTCTCTCCCTCTCTCTCTCTATCTCCCACACTGGCTCTCATTTCTTTTCTCTATATTTTTATAAGGCCGAACAATGTTTGCGCAATAACTGAGTAAACAAATGAAAGTCCCATAAATAAAAGCAAAAGGTTAATGTTTAGCCAAAACTATGACTATAACAAAAAGAAACTATGCACACAAACTAAGATACAAATTGTAAAAAAAGATACACCAAAGAAGAAGAAGAAGATATGAAAGATAAGATTGTAATAAAGTAAGTAGAAATTAACTGAAAGACGGCACACGTGTTTGCCACGCACGGCAAGAGACAAAGATGGACTAAAATAGCTAGAAAGAGAAAGAGAAAGAGACAATGAGAGAGAGATACAAGTTAGGAAGCTAAAGATATTAAACAAAGCAACTGGGAAAAAATAAAGAGAGTAGAGTGTATTGTTGTTGCTTTGGCGTGAAATATTTTGCAAATGACGCAATTTTGCAAATAACAAAAAAAATGAATGAAGAAATTGTTTTTTGTTTTTTCTGTTTGTTGTATAAAACGGCAGCCAACTCGACGCTCGCCCATTTTTGGAATGACACACATAGGCACAGATACTTACAATCAAACATATATATATATATATATGGATGTACATACATACAAGCATACATACATAAATACATTTAGTACATACGCACTGGGTATGTGCCTCAGTTTGTAGTTTATGCCATTTGTGCTGTTGCTGTGCGCATTAAATTATGCGAACGATATAATTTCATTATCAGACAGAAAAGCAGAAAAGTCAGCGGTTCAGTTCATTGGCATACGGGGCGTATGAGTGTGCCTAACACACACACACACACATTGGCATATGCAAATACTCGTCACACTTGAGCAGAGTGTACAAAATTTCGTTGAGTTGAATTTATTATTTAATTACGGGACGACAGCCAGACAGACAGCGAAGAAGAACAAGGCAATGAGACAAGGCCCAAAATTTCTACTATGCATCTGTATATAGACAGAAATTTTGCGACTTAATGTATCTTTGCTGTGTGTGTGTGAGTGTTTGTGTGTGTGTAGAAGTACTTACGCTGGCAAAAAGATAGCAAATGCTGAAGGGAAAAAAAAAGAAATAAACTCGCACTTGAACTCGTCGTCTCGTCTCAGCATCTTTTCTCTCAGCTCGCTTTCTCTCCCTGTCTCGCTCTCTCTCTCGCGCTCTCTATCTCGTCACTATCTCTGCTCTGCTTTGCTGCGATGTTTGCTTCTTGTATCAAATATTTTATCAGCACTCGCAATATTTGCTCTGTTACATTTGCGCTTCAATGCCTCAACACACGCTGTGAGAGATTGTCAAAAAAAAAAAAGAAAAGAACTAAGACGAAAAAGAAAAGGGGAGTACAAATAAAAGAGGGGGATAATATGAGGCATGTACGATGACGGCAACAGCCTGCTGTCGTAGAGTTGCCTTCTTAGCAGGCATGTCAAACAACAACCCCCCGGACACCGCACCACACCCCTTTCTTTGTCCCCAAGTTTTGCGCCCTTTGATGCTCTGCATGCGCTGATAAAGCAACTTTCTGTGGCTGTGCTCTATCTCTGTCTAACGCACGCATTGAGCGGCGGCCGTCAGTTTGAATGCCAGTTAAACACTTGACAAACAGGCAACCAAATCTGTGCAACATCGGTAGCTACAACAACAACAACAACAACACAGAAAATCAACTCGAGTGCCACTCAAATCTCTGTCACACACACGCACACATGTCGAAAAGCTATGCCCAGCTACACCTAAGCATTTAAATCTTTAACAACACACATTATGTATTATATCTGCTCCCAAAACATCTGTATTTAAACGCTTGAACACGTTAGAAATTGATAACAAAAAAAAAATAAAAAAAAGGCAGATGAAAGCATATTTGACCTCATTAAATATATATATTCTTGTTCAGCATCAGCAGTCGAGTCGATCTGTCTGACTGCATGCACAAAAGGATCTCGGAGAATACAAAAGCTGGAAACAAATTTAATTTTATTGATAACTCATCCGGCTTCGGGGATATCGATACAGATCGACTATCGATAGCAATAAAAGCATCAGTTTTAAATATTTTGTTATTCAATTAATATATTATATATTTTGACATGTTATTGATGTTATTAATGAATTTCATGAAGATCGGATAAGAAACACCCAAGTTGTAGTCCAAAACGTATTCTCATATTGATTCTCATAATGTATATACAAGCTGGGCTCAGGGTACTAGGCAAGCTCGTTAAACTAGAGTATTCTTACTTCAGTTTACTTTTTTGCTAAATATTATTATTATTTTACAGAATTGCTATATTTTTGCTTGTCAAAAACTAATTTCATTTACAATTGTAGTAAAATGTTTCTTGATTATTTATTTGAATGCGAGTATCAATTCCTATAATTACTATTATTATTTTAATGCTATGGTTACGCCCCATTAAAATGGTTAATTTTATTGGCTGTACATACTGGGAACACTTAAAAAGCATCCAAACTGGTTGATAAGCATTAAAAAGCTTAACCACAACGAAAACCAATAGCAATAATAAAATAATAAAATTGAAATAAATAGGCAACAACGACTATATTAAGTTAATTTAATTGAAAACGTTGCACGGCTCTGTTTTTATTTGGTAGGATTTTGCGGTTGATTCTAAAAATATAAAATATCATGTGCATAGTTTGTGCTGTGTTTGTTGTGGTTAGAATTGCACTTGTTGTAGTTGAATGCAACAAAATGTGGCAGCCAACATGACAGCATACTGTTCATTACTATCGAAAACAATTATCACAATTGCACACGCTTTAAATTACAAATAAATGATCCCTGCAGCAAATCGATTGCAATCACTCATAAATTGTTGATGCCACCCTTTGTATGTTGTACTTGAATTTCTATATTTGAGACTAGATTTTACAGTTTAACTTTTTGTATTTTAACTTTATTATTGTCTTTCTGATCTTTTTAATAAATACTTGCATTTTGCTGCTGGCGTCAAGTAATATTATTGTTTTGGCAAATATCCAAATAGAAAAAAAAACAAAAAAGAATTCAAAGAAAACACGAAATAAAAGTGTATCAATTGCTGTGTGTGTGTATGCTGTGTGTGTGTATGCTGTGTGTGTGTATGCTGTGTGTGTGTATGCTGTGTGTGTGTATGCTGTGTGTGTATGTGTGCCTTTGTTTGTTGCATACAAATTTTATAGATTTTCAACGCCTGCCTTGCGATGCTGCCAAAATATCCTGCAGCGTTCTGACACACACACATACATACACCTGCAACGGCAATAGCAACTGCAACTGCAATGTTGTTGTGGGGCAATTTAAGTGAAAAACGCCATCATCATGGCTGTCCTTTTTCCCTCTCTCCCCCTCTCTCTCTCTCTCTCTCTCTCTCTCTGTTCTCCCCTCTGTGCATATGCTTATGTGGATCCTTTACCAAAATACATACACTATATGCATATGGTGGCTCAAGCTGAATCGTTCAATAATATCCTATGGCTGAGTGGAATTTCAATAAAAATACTTTATCACACACACACACACACATTCACACACAGAAAAGAGAAATAACGCTTGCTATTATTGGGGGATAACATTGAATATTTGCGTGCTCTTTGCATATTTTTGTTGTCAATCTTCTTCTCACCAGTGCTCTAAAATGTTTGCTTTTATGTTTCCATCTCGCCCCACTCACCACTGTTTAGTACGGCCAGCGTGTGCCAACTGCAGCTTCACCGAGTAACACAAACTCGAGCAGCTCATCGAACACGGGCTCCCAGAGCGGCACACTGAGCACCAGTCTGAGCAACACGACAAACACAAACACCACCATGGGTCCCAACGGTACGGCACAGAATCAAAATCAACAGGGCGGCGAGCAGTTGTCAAAGACAAATCTCTACATACGTGGACTGCAGCAAGGCACAACCGACAAGGATCTAATTAATATGTGTGCACAGTAAGTATTTATTTATTCAATTTCATTAATATTTAACTACATGCATACATAGGCAAGACACTGTGACTGACAGTCCGTCAGATTGTAGGACCGATTCTAAGAGACTATCCCGAAAATCACAGCTGCGCATACACTTTAAAAATAGATTTATTTCAGTACTATCGATTGGCATTTAAAATGTTTACTGTACAGTGGCTGGAACTATACGCCTCACCCCTCCATCCCCCTCCACCCTCATCGGCCAATAAAAATGTGTATTTTTGTTTGGTTGGTGCTAGCTAACCCTTAGTTGGTGTGGAGGCCATGTATCAAAATTTGCTGTGAGCCTCAAATTCAATTCGTGCTAATGAGCAGCTTAGCTTCAACTCATTACGCTTCGTTGAATTTCTACAAAGGCCGAACACACACAATTCAATACACTCCCCCAAAACAAAAGTCGAGGGGCGGGGATGGCCGAGCAACCCCAACAAATACAAAGAAAGACAAAAAAAAAAACAGAAAAGGCAACCCCAGGAAACAAGTTGCTGCAAAACTAAACAAAATTCAGTAATTAGTGTGCACACTTTATTAATGGACACAAAAAAAATGTGAAGGAAAAACAAATAGGTTAACTTTAAGTACGACGACTACTTGAATATTACGATTATGATGTGGTATATTGCGCATATTAAGCATACGCAATGTTGGCACACACTTTATTAAGGCCGCCCGACCAGCAAAATATATGCATAAAAATATACATATACATACATAAATAAAAACAATTAGACGCCGCCGCCACGCACATAAAAAACGAATGAAAAAATAAATATTCACTGTAGCAAATATATATATATAAATATATGTTTCTCAACTATATTTCTATATATATATTTATACATATATAAATTTATATAGAAATATATAGTACACAATCATAAAGCGCAGCGGGCAAGATGCGTAAGTCGAGTGCTGTTGCTGTGAGAGGATCAGGGGTAGCAGGGGGCACCTCGGGCGAAGGGGCTGTGCGCCCGCTTAATAATAAGTCAAGTAATTAAATTGAAGGTTAATTTGCTTTTTTATTTGTGGCCTAGCTAGGCGTGAGGGGGTTGGTTGGTAGATTGGGGCCAGGACTGGACTCTCACTAAGCCCACCCACTTCTTATTATTATTATTAGGATTTTTTCGCTGCTGCTTGACTGCTGCGAGGCAATCAAAATAAGCGGCTTATTTGCCGGGCAGCTTTAATATTATAATAACTACATATAAACGATTATAGTGGCATAGAAGTGTGGGATTGTACGGGCTGTGCTGAGTGTGTTATCGATGTCTGTAACTATGCTGATATCGATTTAATTTGCCCAGGCGCAGGACTCGCACAGTTTACACAAGTAGAAAAAAAGGGAATTCGTTGCCTACTTTGCAGCGTGCGGCATTAATATTGCATTTTAATGACTATTTAATTGCTTTTTGTACATTATACTTTATCCTTTGGCGAACTATAACCCCCGAAAATAATACTTTTGACCTCGACTGCACGTCATGCTTTCGGCACAAACAAAGCCAGCAACAGAAATTGTAAAAATAAACAGTTGAGACCGACCAGCTCACACGCACAGCGATTATGACTGTCAGACAGACAGGCAGACAGACATACAGATATCAGATACTCTGCATTTGTAAACAAAAGTTAAACTTTTACACTCTTACATACATACAAACACATACAGACACACACACACACACACCTATATCATGACATGCAAAAGTCATGTAATTAGTCACTTTACGTCTGTTTTACATATGTTTATTTCCCTTCACTAATTCACTGGTCTGCCGTTTTTTCCAATCTATTTCTCCCTTACAGATACGGAACAATAATATCAACCAAGGCTATTTTAGATAAAACAACAAACAAATGTAAAGGTATTTTTTTCTTCACCATTCTCATCATTATTTTATTTATGTGTGTTTTTCGTATATGTATTATTAGTATGTGTTTACGTAATCAAAAAAAAAAAAAAATAAATAAAAAATACAAATATCAAAACAATTATTTATTTATTTTTTTGTATGTATTTATTATTATTTTTTTTAATTTAAATATGCGCAGTATTCAAAAGGTTAACAAAGATAAAAGAATCATGAAAACATTTATTTATTAGTTTAATATTGGACATTGCAGATAGCTTGTAAAGTTAAGAAATAAATTTGATCATTTCGATAATTAAATAAACACATGTTTAAAATTAATTCAAATTATAGATGAGTTAATCAAATTCAAATTATACATATTATGTAAATTAAATTCAAATTATAAATAATAACTAAATTCATGAGTACAGGGCATATTTAAAATTAATTTAACTTAATCTACTTGCGTATATAGTTTTTTTTTTCTATAATAATTTCTCTTAAATCTTATTGCTCGTTCTCGTTATTTGTGTCTGGTACTTTGATGTATTTATCGAAAATGGAATATGAACAATTGGCAAACTATCGATTTTCTATGTTTTTCAACTTCTTCGGCTTTCATTTGATTAATTATGCTTTTCAGTTTATGATTTCGTCAATTTCTCATTTCGCGATCGTATCATCCATGCATTATTCACTTCTCTACTACTGCACTCTAACCCTAATATGTATATCTACTATGTATATCTACTATGTATACTCTACTGCTAATGATAACGATATTATATATACCCTACCTATACTCTTATAAATATATATATAAACTGTGTCGAGAATAACGAGCTCTGTACAAAATGTGTGTGTATGTGGAAAGGCTTAACCCCTCCTACGCTGTAATTTAATTTACTCCTGGTGATATATGTATAATATATATATATATATATCTATTTATTACTTATTTACGTAACTTGTCCCGATGTGTTGTGTTTTAAGTTTAAGTTCCAAATACGTGCCAAACCAATTATTAATTTATTTTTCACAATTTTCTCTTTCTTCCCCCCCACTACTCTATTTCTATCTCTTTCTCTATTTCTTACCGCCATTCGAAACTCGTTTCGAATATATTTTGTTTTTGTTTTGAACGATTTTTTCACATTCTTATTTTGGTTAAACCAAATCTTATTTTGCACGTGCAAAAAAAAACCCTATTTTTCGAAATGTGTGCCAAAAATAATCAACTTCAACTTTACTATTTGTACAATTATATATATATTTATATATATTTCAACATGCAATTAAAAAAAATTCCACCTCCCCCCTGTAAAACTAAACACACACAAAAAACGCAACGAACCAAAAAAAAAAAAATACAAAAAAAAAAAAAATGAAAAACGAAAAAAAAAATACGAAAAACAAAAACAAAACAAAAACAAAATATGTTTCTTACAGGTTACGGCTTCGTCGACTTCGAGCAGCCAGCCTACGCTGAGGGCGCCGTCAAGGGACTGCAGGCGAAGGGCGTGCAAGCTCAGATGGCCAAAGTGGGTATCTGGGTGCTTCATAGGCCGGCCATTGTACGTTTGTTTGCATGCAAGTAATACTCACCCCTCACACCGCAAACTATTCCAACCTCCCTACTCCCCACACTCCCCCGTATCAATACCACCAATACCCTTCCGTAATCCGCTGCCCGTAATCCGTAATCCGTACCTAACCTCAAACTAAAAAAAAAAAACAAAAAAGAAAACCCGTTTGTTACAATCCAACCTCAACCTTTCATTTCAATTCATTTACTGTGTGCCTCAAAAAGCTTTTGTTTTTTAAGTTTGTTTCTAATTATTGTTAATATTATTATTCTAATATTTATAATTACTAGCTTAGTATTTTATTTATATATCTATAATTTTGTCGGTGCTTGGGCACTTTACCTAAAAAAAAAACCCGTATGAAAGTGAAATCATACTAAATGAATAATTGCTGGTTATCAGCTATTCAAATATACTATTCAAAGCACAAAGTTTGCCTGAAAACTCGCTTCATGCAGCTGGATTTATATAAATATCAATTGTTCCTTTTAAAGTACAAAGCTTGCTTTAAATCAGTCTCCAAATCTGAAATAAAAATAGCACGTCAAGAGAAAAACATCTAGAACTTGCTGTGCATTCCATGCATTCAGCAAAGTTGCAAATGCTCTCGACCCTTAAAGGTCAATATGCCCACGCCACGTGCTGAGTGCTGAAACATTTCGCCAGAGCTGCAAATTCAGTATTTGTGTCGGTGGATTTCTGTTTGTCCCTTATCTGCTGCATCCCTCTGCATTTCCATTTCACAAACTTTGCACATTTTGAATGTGTGTGCTGTGTGTATGTGTGTGTGTTGTGTGTGTGTGTGTGTCTGCTGTCAGGTTGCCAAGTCATGGAGTCGGTCGCATTTGGCAGCTGGATTTAGAAATTGTCTGGCGAATTTGTATTTATTCGCGATGCTGGCTTTCTTCGCCTCCAACAAGACAGCAAATAAATTGCCCAAATATATTTATAAATTCGTTGCGATTATTTTCATTTCAATTTGTATATTTCAAAGCAAGCCTGAACCTGAACCCAAAAACCCCCATAAACTACATGCTACCCCAAATAAAACCGAACCCCCTTAAACCTTAAACCTTAAACCTTAGCCAATCCCCTAGTTTGTAGTGTTGTTAAACTTTCTAAAAAGATTCGTGTATATCGTATAACGTAATATATACTATGCCCAGAATACTTAATACCTAGCCCCCCTCCGCCCCACACACACAAAAACTCAAACACGAATTATATAGTCCAGTACATACATACAATATATATACATATATATATATATACCCAATTTAGAAATTATATATACATTTTTAGCGTAGCTTATACATACCTGTTTTTTAATTAAACATTTGGATATACTACGTAAAGCAGCCAAACACGAAATTGTTGAAATTATTTGTTATGTACTCGTAGATACATACATATTATATACATATACACTTAAATACATATTTCCTCGTACGCTCTTCATTATCGAGTTTAGCCGCTGAATTTTTCAATTAAATGCGTATTTATGCGTTCAATTAGAGTGTATATTAAATATAAATTGAATGCAAATGCATTTATTAATGTCATCCATTAATTTCAATTTGATTTCTCGCTCTTTCTCTCTCTCTCTCGCTCACTCTAGTATTTATTAAAATAGCAAAATAAAAAACTTTAATCTATCTTTTTAATCTTCCTTTAGCAGAAATACAAACAACAATTAAAAAACCCCTTATAAAAAAAACCAATAACAAACAATCCCTTTAATAATAATTTAGCGGATTTGTTGGTAAATTTTAATTAATTCAAAGCAACATATTATTTTTTCAACAATTTCTTCAACAATTTAGTTTAAATAGTCGCCAGGTATTCTCAATTAGTGTAACATAAAAAGTAATTACGTATTTTATGCCTAGCTATCATGTTTAAAGTGTAAACAATTCGTAAAACTTACCCATCAAGCTGTTAACTTAGATAAAGTTAGAGAAAAATGTGCTTCGGCTTGCCGTTGATTAAATATCCTTGCAGATTATATAAAAAACTAGATAAACTGCCTTGGAATTATCACAGAAATGAAATTTATCTGTACTATAACTCCAAGTTTAAATCACTGCAAGGGTATTTAATTCGGTGCTTCAAGAAGTGCGCCTATAATGTATATTTAGAGTCTTTTCATTTATTTCTTAGTACTTCAGATATATGCATAGATATATAATAAAATGATAATATTTAGAAAAAGCTGTGAGGAAAACTGATAAAAGCATTTATCGCCATTCTTTATCAATTTCCAACAGTTTGTAATATCTCAAAATCGAAGAATACTAAGATATATTATATACGTAACAGTTAACAGACTTAAACAGTAAACACACTTATAAATGACACACATATTTAGTGAACTCTCCACAAAAGTTGTAAATCATTAAACATTTTTGATTTAAGTAGTCAACTTCAAGTCAATAATTGAGTACTTAATTAGCCCAACTTGGTCCATTCACAAAAACCACATTAAAATTACATTCAAGACTCTCAGTAGCTGAGTAGACGAAACCAATTAAAAGTTATGTACTTAACTGTCATCAGTATTTTAGACACTTTAGTCACATAAATCGTAACTGTTAATTAGTTGGTAAAAAGAGAGAAATGTGCTGAGAAAAACTTGTAACCAACTCGCAACCAACAACCAACAAACACTTAGAATAAACAACTTTAATTACCATCTATATCAATAGAGATTCGTAATGGTATTTTCGGAGCTCATTTCAAGTTGTGTGTGTGACATAAAGTAACGTAACGTAACGTAACGTAAATTTATAGATATAATATAGATCAAATATATATTTAGAATTGACGCTCATTTAATCTCTCTTTATATATATATATATATCTATAACTAAATAACTCTCTATAATCTAAAAAAAAAAATTGTATAAATTGTAATCGTATATTTGAAGTTATAGCCAGCCATATAATCAACCTACCAAGTTTGTTGTTTGAGTACGCAAAATGCTACAAACCTGCGCCGGCCAAAAACTAAGTTATAAAAATACAAAACCAAAAAAAAAATACAACAAAAAAAACTAAACTAAGTATAAATAAAAACGAACTCACATTAAAACTAAGACATACATAAGTGATCAGGTATTTAACTTAATTAAGTGCATTACTAGGCAGTTCCGTTTGTTGAGCTCATCCAAAATCATATCCACCCAAATACCATCGACTACACACATGTGCATACACATCAAACACTAACTGTTTATACACTTCAATTTGTGTATATATCAATTGTTGTTTAAGTCTATTAGCGGATTTTTTAATTAAGAAAGTTCGCTAGTTTTGTGTTTTAGGTATTTTAATTAAGCTTTTAGGTCTTGTGCTGAGGCATCATTTTACACACACACACTCACACACACAACATACAACATACAACATACAACATACAACATGCTACATGCTACGTGCTACATAAACATTAAGTCAGGCACACTTAACAACACACACACACACACACACACACACACATACACACCAACACCACACACACAGAGCCAGTATACCAATAACAGTAAACAGTAATTGTACCAGAAATTTTTACTAATGACAAAATTTCTACGTTTTAATTTTCTTTCCTCCTCTCTCTCTCTCTCTCTCTTTCGAAACGCGTCGTCTTTGTCGCTCATCTACACACATATATACACACACACATACACACACACACATATATATATATATATATATATACAACACGCACACACTTCATTCCCCACACACATACATACAACATGCGCTTGTGCCAATAAACTGCTTTTGTTTGTGTGTGTTAAAACCTTTGTGTGTGTGCAATCTTTCAAACAAACGAAACAAACCAACTAAAACTGATTCGATTGATCCTCCAACAACAACAAACAACAATCAACAAACAACAATCAACAACAACAACAACACACACACGCCTGCTGTCCTATGCATCCAACGACCACACAGCAACAGGAACAGGATCCCACAAATTTGTATATAGCAAATTTGCCACCACACTTTAAAGAAACCGATCTGGAGGCAATGCTAGCGAAATATGGCCAAGTTGTATCCACCAGAATATTGCGTGATCAGCAAATGAACTCAAAGGGTAAGTTAAAGAAATCACTTGAAATACACAAATATTGAATATTGATTGATGTTCATTCATTCAACCTTCATTTGTTTCGATCTCGCAACTCAAGGCGTTGGCTTCGCACGCATGGAGAGCCGCGAGAAGTGCGAACAAATTATACAAATGTTTAACGGTAACACAATACCGGGTGCCAAAGATCCGCTATTGGTCAAATTCGCCGATGGCGGTCCCAAAAAGAAGAATCTCTTCAAGACGCCCGATCCGAGTGCTCGCGCGTGGCGCGACGTCTCCGCCGAGGGCATACCCGTTGCCTACGATCCGAGCATGCAACAGAATGGAGTCAGCGTCAACGTTGGCACACCCATCGGTGTGCCGTACTCTCGCTTTGGTGCACCCCAGGTGGGCGGTTATCCGGTCGCTGGATCGCAATGGATACCCGGCTACATGATGACACAGCCGATCACTCAGGTAGATGATCAGGTGAGTCCAGAGAGAACATTCGTCATTTTGTTGCGACTGTATGCCCAACATATATCAGTATTCCTCCTCTGCGTTGCAGTACATGCAAATGGCTGCCGCTCCCCAATTGGGCGTCACCTCGTACAAACCGGAGGCTGTTAATCAGGTGCAACCACGCGGCATCTCGATGATGGTCAGTGGCGATACGGCTGTGCCATATGGAACAATGATGCCACAGTTGGCCACCCTCCAAATTGGCAACTCTGTAAGTGCTCTCAATCCGGGTCTCCAATATCTATAGCATATCCAATCCTCTTTGCGTGTATATATATATATATATATATAGAATACTCAAACACATCTATCAGAGCTGAAAAATTAACGCAAAAAATGGCCCAATTCAGCTCCGATAGTTCTTCAGCTCGAATATGATACAGTGATCGCTCGACAATTGGACACAGCTCTGAATCTGAAGAGTTGATTTCTTTAAGGTTTCTTAAAACGGAATATCTTACTCAAAAACTCTTTTGTCTGGCAATTCTAAGAGCGACCGAGCGACCACTTTATGTATACAGAGAAATGCGAGCGAATATAATTTTTGAATAGATGTAGAAAACTGTGAAGTTGCTTTGCGCTCTTCAGCTTCTTCATTGTCTAACTTGTGTGTGTGTGTGTATCTGTGTATGTGTGTATTGTGTGTGCGTGTGTGCCTTGTTGCAATTGAAATCTGAATGATGTTTGATATATAATTTGTATTCTATATCTGTTCTTTTATTCCATTGTTTTTTCCGTTCTCTTTTCGGTTCCTTTATAGAATTTTTCTCCATCGTTACAGTATATTAGTCCAACTTATCCATATTATGCACCACCACCAACTATTATACCAACAATGCCAATGACAGATTCCGAACAGGCTAGCACAGCTGCATCACCCGACGAGGCATACACACAGTATCCACATCAAGCCGCTCCCAAATAGGTCTTCGCGAGGTGAGTGATGTCTCTCTCTGTCTCTCTCTCTCTCTCTCTCTCCATCTTCTTTTCTGTCTTTAACTCTCACTGTCTCTTCCGTCTGATATTTTGATGAGACAAGACTCGATCTCTCTCTCTCTCTCTCTCTCTCTTAAAACGCTTTCCAAGCTGCTCTTCCAGTCCCTGACACTGAGTTTTCATTCATCTGCTTTGGTAGTGCTTTGTAGCAGGTGCTTACTGTACCACCTGGCCACCACTCACTTAGAGCGCCGTTGCTTTACAACACTGTTTGCCAACACTGCCTTGCATGTGCTGTGTGCGCGCTTTTAAGCCTTTTCCAATCCCACCAACCACTTACACTTTTCAACACTCACTCGCCGCATTTCATTTCGTATTTTGCAATACTTTTGCTCTGCTTTTAACGATCAATAGTGCATTTTCTTTATCACTCCCATTATCACCATATATACACACACACACACACACACAGATACATACACACACACACACAGATACACACACATGCTTACTCCTATACACTTCTCTTCATTCGTTTTGTGTGCTGCTTGTTGTTGCTTGCCTGTTTGCTTACAATCTGTTCATGACTCTGGAACGAAAAAGACTCTCATAACTAAACGCGATTCTTTTACTTTCTTCTTCTCTCTTTTTGTGTTTGATAACTGCGCCCACAACTACAATAATCTCGCTCTTGCATACTTAGTATAGTTACTAAGCAGCCTAAACACTGGTAATACATACTAGGTAAATATCACTCATACATATAACATTAACCACCCCAATTATAAACTGTGACTGCATCAAACCCCTATTTTCCATGTATCCCCTCCTAGCAGAACTTGGAAGAAAGCGTTTGAAAGACATGTGAAGAACTGTACATAAAGATATCCTACGGATATAGTATAGTTTCTTGCCAATTCCCAACCCTTAACACAACCCAAAACACCACCTACCCTTACCTAACTCATCAATTCTTGTATTCTAATAGTTTCTTTGATCGTTGTAGATATAATATTTTAGTACCCCATTTGAGTACTATATGATGGACGCGATCGAAGGCTAGCGACGGGAGCATTAAGCGCTGGAATAACAACCACAACAACAACAACAACAACAATATTAACATTAACAACTACACAGCAACAACAACAAGAACAACAACACCAACGCCAACAACAGCAACACAGGCTGTGGAGGAAGCAACAACAGCAACAACAACAACAACCACAAACCACATCAGGAGACCGGATGCAGTTTGATAACAGTAAAAATGTGCTGTTCCCTAAAACAACAAAAAAACATTGTTTAAAATAATAAAGAAATGAGAGAGAATGAGTTTAAGAGTTATGTATAAAAGAAGGAAGCAGAAACAGCAGAAACAGCAGAAACAAGAAAAAGAAGAGAAAAAATACATACATAAATAAAATGTAAGAGCGATTGAAACGACGAAGTTGAGAAGTGAGAGCGTTAAAGAAGTGAAGAAAAGCAAAGACTAAACTTAAATAATAGAAATTAGTTATACACTAAATAAATGCTTAAACAACAGCAAAGTGAACGACAAAAGGTAGTAGAAAAAAAAAACGGGGTCAGAATTTTCATTAAAAGAGAACGTAAAACTCGACAGCAGAAGAAGAAGAGGAAGAGGTGCAACATTTTCTCACACGAGAAGTTCAAACAAAACAAAAATAATAAAACTAAAAAGCAACTCTGCAACCAAAACACTTGAAGCAACAACAATTTGCATAGGGAAAAACGCAAATTTCTAGTTAAGTAAATTGATATAAGAAATAAATGAAAAATCCTCAAGAGAAATCTTGCTGGTGGAAAACAGAAAATTAATTGCGCATATTAATCTTTAAGAACAAAACCGACAAATTTGCTAGTTGCGATTTTGTTTAGAAGTAAAAGCAAAGCAGCAAAACAAACAACAACAAAAAAAAGAAAACAAAAACAATCCGTAGAATCCCCAAAAAACAATGTGTGCAATGTATGTTAAAATGAAGAACAAAACAAATAACAAACAATTTGATGATTTACAGCAACAATAATGAAAGATAATGAAAATAAAAAAGCAAAACAAAAAAAATCCAACTTGAAAGTCAAGCAAAAGTGAAGTAAATTTATTTTTCATTGAAGGAAAAAGAAGAAGAAGAAGAAAACAATATTCGTTTTCCATATATTGTTTGTTTGTAGTTTTAGTTTGTCGTGAATTTTCTATGAATTGAAATCGCAGCAGCGATTTAAGAAGAGAGTCGAGTGTTTTAAGCTAAATGCACAAGCACAAAGCAAAAAGAGACCGTAAATATTATCCACAAAAGAGATGACATTGTTTTTGTTTTCTGTCACCAAATTGTATAAAGCAAAAAGGCAACCGCCCCCCCTCCCCAAAAAAAAGAAACAAAAAAAAAAAGAAGAGAATGTGACTATTGAAACTTTCTTATTTGTTAATTGCAAACGTTTCACACATTTCAAACAATTTGCTATTATTTCAAATGCAACCGCTCAGAAAGAACGGAAAAATAGTAATTGAATAAAAAATAAAACTCGACCCAAAAAAAATGGGGAAGAAAACTAGTTTTAAGTACTAGCAAAAATGCAGTAAGCAGCAAATTTAGTAGTTTTAGATGATAACAAACAAACAAAAAGAAAAAATGATGATGATAAGCGACAACAAGATGAAGAAGAATAAGAAAGTAAACAATGATAATGAGACGATGATCATTAATAAGCGAAGAAATAAGAAAAACAACCGATAATGTTGAAGTAATAAGTGAAACATATAAAAACAAAAGCAAAGAAGAAGAAGAAATGAAATCTTTTACTAGTTTTTAGCATATTTTTGTGCTCATCAGTCGATTTAATGAATTTTTTGTAGCTGTCTACAGTTTTTTACGTTTAACTGTGTGTGTTTTTTCTAGCAACTAAAACTAACATATACATATATAAATATATATATATATATATATATATAAATGGGAAAAACAACAACAAGATAGAAATAGCTTAGCGTATTTTTTGTCTGCGAGAAATGAAGAAGAAGAAATTGTAGCAGAGTTTAGCAAAGAGTCGAGAATGGGAGAACGGGAGAAGGCATAGGGAATAGGAAAAGAAATGGAAAGTGCAAGGGAAACACAATGAGGCATACACGAAGAAACTTTATAAAAGGATGGCAAGCAAAACAAACGAGAGAAAGAAGTAGCAATGAAAGCAGATATGAAATTGTAGCTTGAAATGTAGTTTAGCACTGCATTGAGTGGAATTCGAGAGAAAAAACCGTAGTAAATTTGTAAGTGGAATGTTTTTTAATATAACGGAGAATGGGGAATGGGGAATGGAGAATGGAGTGAAGAACAACGTTTAAGAGTAGAGCAGGTCAAGGCACAGCAGTAGCAGAAATGAAAGCAAATTAATGTTAAAAGAAAAACAAACAAATAATGAAATAACAAACAAAAAAAAAACAACTACGATTAGTAAAGTAGCAATAAGAAACCAACAATAGAAGAGAAAAAAGGAAAACAAAAACAAAACAAATGAGAAAATGCAGCAGCGATGATTTCTTTACTCTCTATTTGTAAGTCTTAAATAGTCGATGGGTTGATAGATCGTGTTAGATCAATAGACAGACAGACAGACAGACAGCACAGTGTTTGAAATTGGAGCCAATCGTATTTATTTTCTTTGACAAAAACTCAATCAGACTCACAACACACAACACGACACAACACGACACACTCAGACTCGAACAACACGCCTAAGCACACACACATTGTATTTGTGATTTGACTAAATGGGAAAATAAAAGTGAGTTGAGTGGCTATGAGAATCTCAGAGAAAGGCGCATCGAAAGGGCAGGCATTGAGAGAGACAGAGAGAGAGAGAGAGAGCGAGAGTTTGAGATTCAGCTGGAATTTATCATCTCATTTCCACTCACACACACACACACACATATATACATACATACACACACAGACACACAAACAAACATTCCTGAGCAAAGTCTTTGATTTTCATATGTATGTATGTTAACTGATTTCGATTTATATAGATTGCCAAGTGAAAATGCCTATACATATATATACTAACAATCTATATAGTCTACATATACATATATAAATACAAAAAAAAAAATGAAAACACAACGCCAAAAGTCTTCCTAAGCCTAAACCAAAACAACAACAACAAAAACAAAAAACAAAAGTGCAGTGCATGTTTTCTTATCAATACTTATAACATATAAATAACAGCAACTATCATATATGAGTTTTTTTTTCTTATATCTATTATATCTTTTCTAATTTGTACAATATGTAATTTGCTTTAGACTGAATACCAAAATGGAAATTGAAACAATAATTGAAATGAATTCAATGGTAATAAAATGCAGGATTGACAAACCGCACACACACACGCAGATACACACACACACATAGATACACACACACACATAGACACACACACACACACACACTGAGAAACAATCTTTACATTTTGCAAGCGTCGTCAGAGTTAGAGAAATAATCGAAAACAAAGAACACCAGCGAGAAACAGGGCAAATATTTTGCAAAAAACATTCCAAAACCAAAAGAAAAAAAGGACTAAGCAAATTTTGTATACAAATTGATATTTTTAATAGACGATGCAACACGAGACGCCTCTGCAAACAGCAACTTGAAAAAAAACGTAACCAAAACAAAAGAACGTCTGGAAAGAAATCACAAATACAAAAAGAAAATTTGTCGAGTTTTTTGCTTAGAATTTTCATGCTCACATTGACTTTTCTTAGCCCTCCTTCGCCCCTCCTTCTTCTATACTCTTTAGTATCTTTACACAAAAAGTGCAATTTTCGATTTTCTTTTTAAAAGTATTTATTTAATATGTTTTTCACATGAAATTCGGTTTGTAACATTTTTCAGCTGTTTATTAGGCAGAAAATCATGAAATTTTAAGTTAAGGATATGCGAGAAAGAAACAAGAAGAAGAAGAAGAAAAAGAAAGAAGAATTGAAATCTTAGCTGCAAGAGAGTTTAGCAACTTTAGTTTTAAGCCAAACAATGGGGCAGACTAAACCCCCTCACCCCCAACCCCAAAAAGAAGAAAGAAAAAAGTAAAAGTAAAAGAAATGAATAACACACATGTTGTAGATGAGTATAATGATGATAAAGAAGATAATGATGAAGTAGGACTAGATGTAGTAGGAGAGACAACAACAACAACAACAATTTAGTAACTAAGATCAAAGCCATTAGGGTTAAGGTATAGCAGACCTAAGTATAGATTTGACAAGAAAGCGTTGCGTTGATTCTGCAGAACAACAACAACAAGAAGAAGAAGAAGAAGATAATGATCGATGGAGTAAGAAGATGAAGTAGAATGAAAGAAGAGTAGTTGATGTAGGACATATGATTTTTAATTGATAGAAACGCGCAAGCGTTTAACTATAGTTGGTTAGAGCTAAAGAACGACGACCGGCAAGGAGAATGCTAGAAATTTGTAGTTTTTGCGTAGTTAGAACGAGGAAAGAAAGCATGCGAGCGAGCGAGCGAGACAGACAGACAGAGAGAGAGAGAGAGTGGCAGAGGGAGAGGGAGCGACGCTTGCTTGCGTGCGCAGTGTTGGTAAAGGAGTCGAGGAGTCGTCAAGTTCGGATTAGTTTTAATTTTGAATATTATATACACAGTCGATGAGCGATCGATCGATCGATCGATTTAATTGGCAGGCAGTGCTGCAGTTATAATTGATTAATTAATTGTCCTGCTGCTGCTGCTGCTGCTGCGAGCAGATGGTTTTTTTTTTATATAACAATTTAAAGCTACTTTGACAAACCAAACTTAAGGCTTGTTTGTTTTGCGTCTGTATTTTGTTTTAATTTAATGCGTTTTACTTTAGTTTTTTAACTAATTTTAAGTAGTTAATTTATTATTTGTCTTAATCAAAAAAAAAAAAAAAGAGCATAAAGCAGCAACAACAACAAAAACAACACCATCAACAGCAATCCCTTGAATTTTGCTCCTTGCTCTCAACTTGAAACGGAACAGAAATTTAAATTGAAATTGATGTATGTGTTGAAGTAATTTTTAAAGCAAATGTCTAGTGCGTAAAATTGAAAACTAAACCACAACAAAGAAAAAAACTTTGAATAAAAAATTACAAAAAAAAATCTAAAAAAAAAAAAAACAAAAAAGTAACTGTTTGTTTTTCATTTAAGAGTCTTGTGTTCAGCATAATTTGCTTGATCGTTTGTTTGTTTGTATTTCCTCGATTCGTGTGTGATTTCTTAGTAGTTAAATGTTTTCTATATATAAATTTGAGAGTAAGCTTAATTAATTAACACTCACCTTTACACCAAATAGTTTCCAATAACAAATTTTAAATTAATTGAATTGTGTTTTAAACAAATGGGCAAAAAATAACTTAGACATCTAAGTCGTTGTTAAGCGCGGCTGGAAGCAAAGTGAAAATGGAAAAGCATAAATGAGAAAAACATTTTTTAATTAAGCCAATTTAAGGAAATGATGAATATATATATATTTTTTTGAAACTTTTTTGACAAAACCAAAAATAAAAAAAGAATGAATAAATAACAAAAACCAAAACAAAAAAAAAAACAAAAACCAAAAGAAAAACATAAGAAATTTAAAAAGCAAGTGAAGGGAAAAATGGAGATCCAATAAATGCAGCACGTTAGGCAAATCGGGCAACCGCAAAAACAACATACAACAAACAACATACAACATGTAGTTGCAGGTGTAGCGAACGTAGTGAAAGGTCAAATGGAAACAAGCTCATTAAATTTAAAAAAAAAAAACCCAAAAGAAAAAACAAAACAGAAAAGAAATAAGCAAAAAACGACGACAAAAGCGTAAAAGTAGCTCTAAGTAAACGAAAACAAAACAAAAAAAAAAAAAAAAAACAAAAACAAGCTAGCACAGAGAAGCAGCTAATTAAACTTAGAAGCAAAACAGAAAATAAACAAAAAAGCTAGAAAAACAAAAGAAATGAAAATTAAGAAATACACTTAAAAAATGATCAGCGGTCAGCCGGGCGCAAAGTAATGTAAATTTCGCTTGTTGCTATTTTTAAGTTTTAAATCAAAGTCTTTTAAAGAACTTTATTCATTTCTCTTGTAAACGATAAACGTGGAACGCTTAGACGCGTTAACTGGTAACTATATCTCTCTTTGTAACTCTCCACAAAAACAAAAAAAAAAAAAAAACCCAAAACATAAAAAAAAAAACCAAAAAAACCCTTTCGAATCTCTGTGTATTTTTTAAGGTATTATTTTTTGCATCAATGTGACGCTTTTAAGCATTTTTTATATGCATATGGAAAAGAATTGTATTTAAAACTAGTAAAAAGCTAACAGAAAACCACAAAAAAAAGAAAACGAAAACGAAAACCAAAACAAAAATGATGAATAAGGACATAAGAAACAATGCAACAACTTTGCTAAAACTTTCAAATTTATATGCGTACTTTTTGTGCGCTCAACTTTAATGCAAAAAATCATACATTAAAAAAAATTGGAGCTAAGGAGATAAAGTTAAAGAAAAAACAACAAAAAAAAAAAAACAAAAACAAAACAAAACAAAAAATTATTAAATGAAAAACCAAAAAATAGTTTAAGCAAAACATTTTGCAGCTTTTGTGCTTATTTCGCTTAAGAAAAGTAAGACTAGTTGAAAAAAGAAAAACAAAACAAAACAAAAATTAAATCTAATTGTAAGTAAAAAGAAATGAAAGTGCAGAACCGAAGAAACATGAGGAAGTGCGGCAAAGATGTGCAGAGCAGCAAAGCATATTAAACAGAAAATAGCAAAAGATTAAAAAGAGAACAAATAAAAAATGATTGAAGGAAAGAAAGAAATGAAACATAAAGAACATACAAAGTAAAATGTCTCTTTAAAAACACTAAAGAGCAAATGCTGTCATCCAAAACAAAAAAAAAAACAAAAAACAAAAAAACAAAAAAGAAACTGAACTTTTTCTGAATCAATAAAAGACAAATTGATTTTCTGTAAGAAAACAAAATTGAGCCGACTTTTCCTTTAAAATGGGTCGTGTCTGGGTCTGGTGTTGATTACGGTGCTCTTGCACTGGCCCATATCAAAAAGCTTTCGGATCAATAATTGTGAGGCTAAAACGAGTTTTTGTGCGGATTCCATTTGGGGTGGTTTCTTCTTCTTCCAAAACACACCCACACCCAAAACAACAATTACGGACAACAGAGCTGCTGATGATGGCTCCCACTGCTCGCAGCATTTTAAGCTGGACCATTTGCACAGCAGGCCGAAACTCCCCCTAAAATGCCCGGCGGGGGCAAAATATGAAAGCCTACAACCCAACCGTATACGCATATATATATATATGTATATATATGTATATATATATATATATATATGTGTGTGTGTGTGTGTGTGTCAGTGAAACCGCAAGGATGAACCGAAAAACGTTGACAGCAGTTCAGCGTGCAAGCTTTCCTGCGAACCTGTTCGTTTGACTTGTTTGATGGTTTTATGAGTGTCAAAACTTGACAGCTTAATAGACATTTTTACGGCAGCAATCGCCTTTTCATTGTTATTGTAATGAGAGGGTGTCTGTAACCGTGTATGTGTTCAGCATGCCACCACGCACCATGCGCAAGGGATGCTGTGAGCCCCGCCGGCGTAGCTCCCACTACCCATTACATGGGCCGATACACTCACACACACACCTACATATTGTATGTATGTACGTATGTACATATATACATATATATATGTTGATACAGACGCAAGGCTGGCTGCTGTCCAGTGCTGTCATTTTAGCTTTTTCTGTTGTCAGATCTAAAACCTGATGTAATTGTGCCCCAAAAACCACATTTTAAATTTTGCAACGCACATTAAAATGCCAACCAATTTTTTAAATGTATTAACTTATTTTTGCCATAGCCAAATCCGAGCTAAAAATATTTGAAAAGCAAAATGTAGCTTTTTTAAAGGCTAGATTTTGTCACCTATCAGCAGTGGGCAGCACTGCTGCTGTACGCAGGCCGACATGCGTGTGACTGTGTCTGCGAGCACCAGCAGCTCCCCTTCATAATGACAAGGCAATAAAAACAACGGGCACACACACACGTGCACACTTTTTGTGTTTGTTTGCCTGTTGGCTTACTTGCTTACCGTTATTTCGTTTTGTGTTTCGCTTTTGCTACGATGCTTTTGCAAGTTTCTGGGCACCTGTTCGTTTTCTGTTTTTTGTTGTAGTTGTATGTGTGACAACGCGACCGGGGTACTAAAGAAAGAAAAGTGAAATTTACAAATACAAGGGCATACAAAATTGGCAGAGTTTGCAGATATGCAAGTGTGATCAGAAGCATTTTACTTCCGTGATTAGATTAACGTTTGCATTGCTTTTATTATCTTTAGTGTGGCTGAAAGTGTTCATCACTTTTGCGTTGACCATAAAACGCGCCAACCTTTGCCATTCACTTGCAGTCAGCGACACTCACTTCAAATGGTAATCTGGCAACACCATTTAAGCAGAGTTAAAATAGCAACAGATGGCGCCACTGTACAAAAGTAAATCTGGTTGGAAAAATTCACTTTTTGAATTCATATTTAGTTTTTATTTATTTCATTTCCGTACGGACTCTTATGCATGCTATTATAATTATTCGTTTACAGTCAACTGCTGTTAAACAATAGAAAAATGACCTGGCCAAACCGTACAAAAACCGAAGAGCGCAAACTCTGTAATTGTTAACTGTTTTACATAGATTTCGTTTCGCTGTTTGCCACGAATTGTAATTGATTTTGGTTAAACAAGAGGAAATCGCCATTCAAATGAGGATAATTGTCGCGCTTGCAAACCGTTAACAAATTAATGCTACGTAAACCGAACTAATTTAAAACAAAATCATACAAAACTCATCTTTACACACATTACAAGAACGTCCTGCTCACTTGCCACCAAATCCGCCCATCAGGTTCCCCAGTCCGCCGAGGCCACCCGCAGCTCCCTGTTGCAGTTGTCGCATCATGTTCTGGAGGCCAGCGACGCCGCCCATTTGCTGCAGCATGCGGGGATCAATCATCTTGGCCATCTGCTGATTCAGCTTGGCCATCTGTGTGGGATTCACATTTTTCGCAATATCGCCCTGCTTGAACAGTCCTTTGACGCCGCCCATTTTCTTAACCACCGCCGCGAACTTTGTGTAATGTGCAATCATCTCCTTCACCTCCCGTTCAATGACGCCGGCGCCATGTGCCACACGGAGGCAGCGGGTGGGCTGCTTGCTGAAGAGCTTGGCACCATCGCGATTGTCGAGCTCACTGTCGGACATGCTGTCCATCATGGTCATCATGCGCTTGATGCGCGCCATCGACTCCTGTTCGCCGCCCTTGGTCATGAAGTCCTGCGAGAAGCCCGGTATCATGTTCATGATCTGAGAGAAGGGTCCCATTTTCATGATATTCTGGAACTGCTCGTACATGTCGCGTATGGTGAAATGGCCATGCTTAATCTTCTCCATCAACTCCTCACTTCCGTCCAGTTTCAGCTCGTTCACCTGTCGCACAGAACACAAATTGCCTCGTTAATCAACTAAAATGGAAAAGTCTCGTGCAGAACTCACCTTATCTATCAGTCCCTCAATGTCACCCATGCCCAGCAGCTTGCTAACGAAAGGTTTTGTTTTGAACGGTTCCAAGTCATCGATGTGCTCTCCAGTGCCAATGAAGATGATGGGCGATTGGGTGGCAGCAACAGCCGAGAGAGCGCCACCACCCTTGGCATGACCATCTAACTTGGTGATGATGACGGAGCCGATGTCAACTTTCTCCTTGAAGGCCTTGGCCTGAGCCTCGCAAGCCTGTCCAATGGTGGCGTCCATCACGAAGATGATATTATCGGGACTGACGGCATTTGACACCGCCAACATTTCCTCGAAGAGCGATTCCTCCTGCTTGTGCCTGCCGGAAGTGTCCACAATGATCATCTCAAATCCCTCCCGCTTGAACATATCGACGCCCTCCTGGGCTATGACCACAGGATCGATCTCTGTGTAACTGCCATAGAAGGGAATGCGTGCCTTGGTCGCGTTCTGCTTGACCTGATCGTAGGCACCAGCACGGAAAGTATCCGCGCAGACCAGGCACGATTTCCAATTGCGTTTCTGGTAGTGATAGGCCAGTTTCGTACATGTCGTTGTCTTGCCGGAACCCTGTAGACCGACGAACATGATCACGTTCGCTTTGCCCTTGATGGGTTGATAGGGTTTCACGCCCGGATCGACCAGTTTGATCAACTCCTTGAAGACGGCAGATTGAATCATGCGACGCTTGTTCAGACCGCCGGCCATCTCATCGAAGTCAATTACGGCGCGCACATTCTCGCGCAGCTGCTTCACCTGTCGAATGTTGACGTCCGCCTCCAGTAGAGCTGCGCAGATCTCTTTGAGCATTGCACTCAGCGCTTCCTCATTGATCACTGTGGCTTTGCTGAGCGAATGCAGCGCTGTTGTTATTTTCCTTCCTAGATCTGCTAAAACCATTTTGCCTCCTTATGTATGACTGTGTGTGTGTGTGTGTACGTTAACTGTGAGGCAGCGGAGTGCGTTTTAAATTCGTTGCCTTCGTTGCAAAACAAAACATGCGAATTAACAACGAGTTAACTTTTGATTTTCTCTGACACGTCAAACGTCGAACACAAAGAAGAAGTGAAGACTGCCAGTCAAATGAACAACGTGCAGCTGTCAAAACAATGTGCCCATTCTGTGTGAATATCGCATTCCCACCAGTCAGCTGCTTGCCTTCGCTGTGAATGGCCCACGTGCTGTTTGTATTCACTTTTGAATTGAACGCGCTCAAATAGTTCAAGTTATTGCAACAAATGGGCGTCAAGGAACTGTGGACAATTTTAACGCCACACGCAGAGCGCAAACCAATATGTGAATTACGTGGCAAGAAGGTAGCCATTGATCTGGCTGGCTGGGTATGTGAGAGTCTAAATGTTGTCGATTATTTTGTGCATCCACGCCATCATTTGAAGTAAGTTGCTGCTATCAAATTGTTGTCTTTTTATTGTCACTTTAAATACAAACAAACCACAGAAATCTCTTCTTTCGCACCTGCTATCTCATTTGGGAGCAGGTGACGCCAGTATTTGTGCTGGAGGGTGTTGCACCCAAGCTTAAGAGTCAAGTGATAGCCAAGCGCAATGAGCTGCAATTTCGTGGAGTGCGCCCTAAGGATAAAGATAAGGATGCACAGGCACCACCAAAACAAGCGGCATTAAATGGCGACAAAGGACGCACGCGTTTCAATAATGTGCTCAAACAGTGCGAGAACCTGTTGCTGTCCATGGGCATACAATGCGTGCAAGGACCAGGAGAGGCCGAAGCCTATTGCGCTTTCCTCAACAAGTATGGCGTGCGTATTTATTTTATTACTTTATTGATATATATATTATTATCGACATTGATGGCCAAGTTGGTAGATGGTGTCATTAGCCAGGATTCGGACTGTTTTGCATATGGTGCGCGGCGGGTATATCGCAACTTTTCGGTGTCCACACAAGGCGCTCAGGCAGCTGCCGGCGGCGCCGTGGATATTTATGATATGCAAGAGATATGCACGCGCATTGATTTTGGCCAGCAAAAGGTCATCGTTATGGCGTTGCTCTGTGGCTGTGATTATTGCCCCGATGGCATTGGAGGCATTGGCAAAGATGGCGTTCTCAAGCTGTTTAACATGTACAAGGAATCGGAAATACTGGACAGGTAAAGTGGTTTTATATTCTTTATAATATATAATCACTTAAAAGAAAGACGAAAACATTATTTAGATTGCGCACTTGGCGCGCGGAGACGGACAAATATAGCGTTTTGGAGTTGCGTGTTGACGACAAATCCATTTGCAGCAACTGCGGTCATATTGGACGTACTCAAAGCCACACCAAGAGTGGTTGCGGCGTCTGTCGCACGCATCGCGGCTGTGATGAGAGTCTGTGGAAGTAAGCCAGCTATCCAATTGTATGCCTAAAGCTACATCTTACTATTTTTGCATAGAGAGCAACGGCTGTCCATTAAGGCGGAGCTGACGCTGCGCAAGAAGGCACTCGTGGATGCCAACTTTCCCAATGAAGAGGTCATATCGGAGTTCCTCACTGAACCAGCCTCGCTGCCCAATTTGCAGCTCGATTGGCGACAGCCAAATATTGTGAAATTCATCAAGCAAATTGGCCATCTTTTGCAGTGGCCAGAAATCTATTGCTTTCAGAAATTCTTTCCCATTCTGACGCGCTGGCAGGTACAGCAGTCCAACCAGGACATGTCTCTCGTCCAGCCCCAAGAGATCATCAAGAAGCGCACTGTGAAGGGTGTGGCCAGTCTAGAGTTGCGTTGGGAAGACTCCCGTGGTTGCTTCAAGGGACTTTTACCTCAAGATCAAATTGCCGAATTCGAACTGGAGCATCCAAAAGGTGTGGAGGAACTTTACTATACAATAGAGCCACTAGATATGTTGCAGGCTGCGTATCCAGACTTGGTAGCTGCCTTTCTAAAATCCAAGGAGAAGCCGCCCAAAAAGGCGGCAACGCGTAAAAAGAAGACCAACCAAAAGGAAGCACCTCTCAGTCCTCTTGAGAATCTATCAGACTTGGCTGCCGCAACGGCAGAGATTGTTAGCAAGCCCAAGCGTGGTAAAAAGAAGGCGTTAAACGAGCCACCAAAACAGGGACAGAAAACAATGCAGCAATTTCTGAAGCAAAAAGAAAACACGCCAGTTAAGATGCCCGCTCGTCAGCTAGTCAATCAATGCTCAACGCCGATAAACAAGTGTTTGCCCTCCGATTTAGAGAGCGACGGCGAGGAGTTCGACATGTCCGACATTATCAATGGGATTGTTTCCAATCCGCAAGCGCAACCTGCTGTGACCAATCATGCGGGGCATTTGCTGCACTACGAACCACTGGCGGAGGATTTAAGCATGCGACTGGCGCAGCTGGGTCTGCATAACGGTAAGCCAAATGAACTGAAGGATGATACAGATTTGCTGGTGCAGAAGCGACGCGATATCTCCATGCAGGATGAGTGCGTGCCGCTAAGCAAACGATACTCGCTGGACGACAGTTTTGATCTGTTGGTCAAGGGCGAGCTAAAGAAGGTGCCACATCTGGTCAGGACACCTGTGGAGCGATTTAAGCAGCAGCATCGTTTGTCCACTGCGAAAGAGTCAAAGAAGATGCCGCCGGCAAAGCCGGAAGCCAATGTGAGCTACTTTTTCAATCAAAGTGCTGATGGCGCTGATGTCTTTGAGCAGTTGATGGAGTCCAGTTTGGTGCACACGCATCAGGATTTAGTGGTAATTAGCGACAGTGATTGAAATTCTTTGCGTATATATAATAGTCTTCATTAAATTCTTGCTCACAATAGCAAACTTAATGCTTAACTTTTGCTCCTGACTCTCACACGAAATTAGAACTCCAAATAGCGCTTGGCATAAGCCTGTGCGCTGCACATGGCCTGCTCCAATTGTTCCTCGAACTGGGTGTTCACTTTGCGTCCCTTCATGTTGCACACGATCGCCGCATTCTGACCCTTGGGCGCACCCACCTGGCCGCCAAAAGTGCTCGCAAAGGATTGTAGCCACAGCTGTGCATTAAACTGGTCGCTGATGCAGTCCTGCAGGGTTGAAAAAAGGAAGATAAACGTGTGTTAAATTCGACTTGACTAGACTAACCTGCGGCACACAGCAGCGTGCTTTGACAATGTTCTCACACATGCTAACCACCAGAATGGGACGATCTGTGCATAGTTTTGTGGCACGCTGCAAGGGAATCTCCTCTACCAGAGCCGAGCTGGTAATGTAGTGAAGTATGTAAGGGTGTGTGTCCAGCGGTTTTTCCATCAATACATTACGCATTTCCACCTCCACAAATTCTCTGCAACAAGCACAAATTAGTACGTTTGCTAGCAAAGGTGTACAAGAATACAACAATTCATACTTGAGCGTTGTGCGCGATGTCTCCTTGAGTTTACGTAGCATGTCGTTAATACGATTGAAGGTGTCCAACTTAAATGCATAGGGCAGCTTAATGTCCGAGTGCAACATATTGTGGCGTATAGTTTGCAGTTCAGTCTCCGTGGCGTTTGTAAGCTTGTCAGTTTGAAACTGCTGCTCCAGCAAATCCACACGATGACGCAGCAAAGCTGCTGTTTTTAAAACCTACGAAAGATACGAGAGCAGTTCGATATAATTGAATACTTTTGTGAAAACCAATTGTTGCTTACATTCTCGGCAGCCTGTCCAGCAACAGCTGTGAAAGCAAAGCGCGCTCGATTTGTTTGCTTGAGATTGACTATGCAGAAGCAGGACAGCTCCTTTGTGTTGGTCACATGTGTGCCGCAGCAGAGCTCCTTGGAGCTTAGATTTAGCTCTGGGCATTGCACATTAATCAGACGCAGTCCTTGCTCCGGATACACCTCACCCGGTACCATCGTTATATCATTTTGCTGCAGCACATCCGCTGCGCTCAGCTGCTGCACTTGGACGGCTGAGCCGGAACAGATGGCGCGACTGTAATATGTGGTATATGAATATAAGTTGCAGATGTAGATGTGGATTGGTGGCGAACTCACTTGATCAGATCCTCAATGTGCTCCACATCGGCCTTTTGTATGCGTTTGCCCAATAGGCCCAGTTCCAGTTTGCACTGATCGCTGCTAACCGCGCTGGAAACCTGATACGTCACCTTGTTGAACAGAGATCGTATGGCTGCGTTTAGCAGATGGATGGCTGCAAAAAGAGGGGCAAGTTCTTTGTATACTCGATTCCCATTAAATGCGAAACATACCTGTGTGATGGCAAGTGTTTAGCTGTCGCTGCTGGGCATCCACTTCAAGCAACACCTCATCCCCCAAGGCCAGTTCAAAGTCATCGGTGGGTGTGGCCAGGCGACAGACATGGACGACACAATCGTTCAGACACTTTACACCCACCACATCCAACTGATGCGGCTGCTCGGGCTTTTGCTTGTTTCGCACCAGCAATTTGCCCAGATCCGATTGCTGACCACCGGACTCGTAATAAAAGTTGCTGGCAGCTGTGACAATGGACAACGTATCTGTGGACTCTCCCAAGCGACTGCCCAGTGTGCGCGAGACCTCTGCATCGTTTTGGATGATGCCCAGCACGCGGCTATTCAGTGTGGGAATCGCGTAGGTTTCACTTTGTGCATCATAACTATAAAAATACTTGTGACTGTTGTCTGTCGCTGCCAGGCGCATGGTGAGCTGGGCTTGCGCCTCTGCAATGCGCTGCTGCAGTGCCAAGTCATAGATGCCACTGTTGCGTTGCGGTTCCTTGGTCCTCAGCTTGGCCAAAGCCAATTCAGCGCGATAGCGCTCCAGATCACAGTTCATGTTCTCCAGCTCGGCCAGCTTGACGAAGCTGTCTTCGGTTAGACCATAAGTGTCCGTCAGCTTGTATAGGAAGTCGCCTGGTATCGTGTTGTTGGCAAACTTGGAGCGTTGCACTTGGAACTCACGATAGGCAGGCACAAAACCAGGACACTCCATCAGATCAATGTCGTCCAGGTTGGGGAACTCTGTGAGCACCTCAGCGAATATCTTCGATGAGCTCTCGCGCAGATTCTTGTACACCTCCTGCTCGTGTGCAATCAGCTCAAGGACTGCCTGCTGCTTGCTCGACATCTCAGGGTAGGCCTCGCCCAGCGTCTCCACCACAATCGGCACCAGCTGTGAGAGCAGATTCTCATGGGAAAACACTTGCTCCGAGATGCTGAGCGCCTTTCGCAGCACGCGACGCAACTTTTGACTGTGCATTGAATATGCCGATTAATATGGAAAGTAATTGAGTTATTGAGTTCGCTCTTACTTCTGATCTGGCAACATGCCATCAGCAAGGCAAGCGGTGACCATGCGTGCATGATCGGCAAGTATTCTGTAGCTGGTGTCCAACAGAGCAGAATTTTCGGCCACGGGAAAGCTGCCCCCATAAACAGGTGCTTTTGAGAGCTACGGATAAAAACAAAAGTTAATTGCTTATAAATTTACACTGTTGATGCGAATCACTTACACTGTGTATGCCATCGAAGAGGGGCGTAAAGAGATCCGTATCGTAATTCGACGATTTGTTTTGAAGGAGCGCAGTTAAACGTTCAAAGCCCATGCCCGTGTCCACATGCTTAGCGGGCAACGATGTTATGCTGCCATCTGTATTGCTATATATATATATATACATAGCAGAAATGTAATCAAGATATTAAATGACTAGCACCAGTAAACAGTAAAGAGCTACCAACCGATTGTACTGTATAAACACCAAGTTCCACAGTTCAGTGAGGTCGGCTCGGCCTGCATTGACCAGCTTGGCTCGCTGCTCAACGCTGCCCGGATCCGAGCCAGGTCTATGATCTATGTGAATTTCGGTGCATGGTCCGCAAGGACCAGTTGTGCCCATTTCCCAAAAGTTGTCCTTCGAGCCAAAGGGCAAGATGCGCGCAGCAGGAAAGCTGCAAAGCAGAAAAGTGTTGATAATTTTTATACACGAATTATATAACCAATTTTTGATTGGTACCCCAAGCTGCGCCAAATGTCAAAGCACTCCATATCGGCGGGTATGCCAAGCAGCTTGTCGCCGGCGAAGTAGGTGACATACAACCGCGACGGATCAATATTGTACGGACCTCGTAGTAGTTCCAACGCCATCGCACAAGCCTCACGCTGCAAGGAATACGTGAGAGTTATGTGATCGTCGATTGAACAGCCTCTTCGTAGCTCACCTTAAAGTAATCGCCAAAAGACCAATTGCCCAGCATCTCAAAGAACGTGTGATGGTAGCCATCCTGACCCACCACAGACAAATCGTTGTGCTTGCCACCAACTCGTACACATTTCTGTGAATTGACGACTCGCTTGTGCGGCGCTGCTGCTGTGCCCAGAAAAACGGATTTAAACTGAAGCGCAGAGCGTCTGATTAGTGGAGAATGGATTAATCAAATTGAGGCGGCCGGTATTCACCTGGTTCATGCCCGCATTAACGAATGCGACGGTGGGATCGCAGAACGGCACTACCGGACTGGAGCGTATGAATTTGTGCTCATGATTGGCCGTGAAGTAATCGATGAATGTTTTGCGTATTTCGCGAGCGGTGAGCACACGCTGTACCTGCTTGGCCGAGTTATACATGCCAATTTAATTGAGTGCCTTAATTACATGTGAGAGCGGTGCGCACCCAGCTGAGCCGGTAATTAAACGACCGGATTAGATCGGAATATGTAATGCAAAACAGCTGATCATTGCAACGTTCGCGTGCGAACGTTGCCATTCGCGCGTGAACGTTCTAAATCTGTTGTTCTATTTTATGGCCGAAGCAACAGCTGCATACTGTGATTAAAATAAGAACCGAAAAAGAAGACCAAAAACAACAACGAAAATTGCCTTGTGCTATGTGAAAAATTCTTGAAATAATATAAATTCATCGACTGTTTGGTGCAGCGAAATTCGGTGTTGTGGCAAATGATGAAATTTTGAACTTTGACACCATTCGTTCGTGTTTCCGCTTTCACTTTTAACCGAACCTTTTATCATAACCAAAAACGGCAACAATAACACGACGTAGTATAAAATATATTGGTAAAGCACAACGGATACACAAAACAACGACAACGTAGCAAACGTAAACTACTTTCGATAGCCATGGCGACAAAACGACGTCCACTGCGTCCAAATCTTGGACAAAGCGGACCAAGCAGTGGCACCAACATGAACTTTCGACCTGGTGGACCCGATATAACGCGAGCAGAGGCGCGTGGAACGCGACCAACGGCTGCTCCCACCAGTATACGTGAAATTCTCGTCATGGGTGTGATACATCTGTGCAAAAAAACGATATTCTTCAATACGGACCTGAAGGTGGCGCTCTATTTGGGGAGCTTGTTCATCATATCGCTGATAGGCGACTTCTTGCCATTTCCCAAGACATACTTTGCCCGCTCCGACAACCTGTTCAATCTGTACTTTGTTAAGGTCGGTTGGGGTTGGACCCTGATGTTTGCAGTGCCCTTCTTGGTGCTCTCGGCCTACACGATTACATGCGGCGACATGAAACGCATGCTAAGACATCACTTTCCACGCATTGTGATAGCCACGTTCTTCTGGTTCTTCTGGACGAAACTCTTCAATATTGTGGAAACCTCTTATGGTCGCTGCAATATAAAGGGTAAGATTGAGGCTTAATATTTTGATGTTTCGATTATAAACATTTCACTTGGTTTGCAGGTTACCAGAGCAAGTCCAGCTGCCTAAAGGCAGGACATCTGTGGCACGGATTTGATATATCTGGCCATGCGTTTATATTGATACACTCTAGTCTGGTGCTGATCGAGGAAGCGCGTCCCATTATCAAGTGGGAGACGATCAAGGAGCATCTACGCAATGAGCTGCACAATCGCAGCGTCTCGGAGAAGACGGGCAGCAATCCACTGCGCTACCTCAATGATGAGCAGATGCGTAGTCTGCAGTTTCTCTATACGCGTCTAACTCCGATCATTCGCACCCTGTTCATTGGCATGGCAGCGCTGCAGCTGCTCTGGGACATCATGCTGGTTGGCACCATGCTGTACTATCATCGCATGATCGAGAAAGTTGTCAGTGGCATCATTGCCATTCTGACATGGTACTTTACATATCGCTTCTGGTATCCAACGAATGGACTGCTGCCCGATGCGCCCGGCGACGGCACCTTTTTCTATCAACGCGAGAGCTTTGCTTTTAGGCGACCCACGCATTTACCCACCTGCACCCAATCCGCTGGCAATCAGATGCCCAATCCAAACGGCAGTAGTAACAAAATGAGTGCCCAGACGTCGGTGCAGCAACAACAGATACCCACTTTTATGGGTATGCCCTTGTTCACGAATGTGAAAGCAGCCAGTGCGGCGGCCAGTTCGCTGTACTCGGCGGAGCTGAAGCGGCGGGAACAGCAGCAGCAGCAGCAGGCGGGCATTGATAGTTGAATCAGATGTTTTCTTGACTAACCCAGCAAGCAACAGATAAACAGGAATTGATTTTAATGGAAAGGAGAATAATTTAAAAAAATGGTATTGGCTAGCAAACGTTTTTTTTACCAATTAGAACATAATACCAAATGATTTTAATGATAATTTAAAAGATAGCTGCTTGAGGCTCGCACTTTGGTATTGTGCACTGTTCATAGGGCAATCGACACTCCGCTCCGCGTTCTCTCTCTCTCTCTTTCTCCATCTATCCACGTTATGTAGAATTAAGCGTTCTTTTGTTTGTGTTTATGTGCCCAACTTTAACAATAACAATAAAACAATTGTTAACAAATCTTCAATGCCTACTTATGCGCAAAGGCTGCAATCATGGCCATACCCAAGATGCCGGCAGTAGCTCCCAACTTGTAATTGGGCGGCGTCATCGTCCACATATCCTTAAGTATATCAAAATTGGTCGTGGGTACAAGTCTGTGGTACGAGGGGCGCTGTTTGAAGCGCAGAAAATAGCCCTCGACCATCGGTAACTTGCCATAGCTCCAGTAATAGTTCTCGAAGCCAAGCTGATAAAGACGCTGCAGCAACAGGCCCAGACTGACGTCAGCCAGCGTGATCTCATCGCCCGTCAGCCACTCTTTGCGTGGCGTTTGCTTGGACAGCTCCTGTTCCACAAAGGTGAGCACACTCCTTACAGCATCCAGGACACGTTGGAAATCGATTCGCGAGGCAATCAAAGCTCGACGACGCATCTGCAATTCCAGCTTCTGTTTCAGTGCAGTGTTCTTTGCGTCCACTTCAGCAACAGAGCGACGCAGTATGTCCATAACTTTTTGATTGTTATCTGTGAAGTGAATTAATAAAAAATATTACAAATAGGAAGCGCTCTTGGACAGAGTTATACTGCTCACTGAGGCAGGCTTGCCGCACGGGTCCGATGAAGGGCGCCTTGGGCACCAGCTTGATGTCATCATGGATAAACGAGCCCAGACTCAATGCGCCAATCGGCAAGCGTGTCACAGCTTGGTCAAAGGTCATCATCTGTTCGTATTCTAAGGAATCCGGGTTGTATGGCTTCAGCACCGGATACTGAACTATTAAGAGGAAGTTTTTTAAATTGGGAATTTGTGACAGACTGCAGAAACTAGAACTATTCTTCCTTACTTCCTCGAAATTTATTGTCCACATAGTTGATAATGTTCCGAGAGTTGGGTACGATAAGCGATCCATCCTGCAGCACGGGCACATCGCCTTTGGGATTTAGTTTTAGGAACCAACTCGAATACTGTTCGCCGTTGCACAGATCGACTATGTAGGGTGTAAAGTCAATGTTTTTCTCATAAAATACCAGCAGAACCTATAAATAAATAACGGCGATATACAATCATTAATACAAACTCAGTATACATTTTACTTATTGTCTTTCAAGTATTATTCATACATTATCGCCGTTGTTTTTTATTTATCACACAACGAAACCCGTTCCATAGTTTGTCATACGCTTCATTAGCACCCCGAAATAAGACAAACAGATAAATAATATTTGTTTGATTCTGTCAAAAGTAACAGAGACTCAAAGTAATTACTAGCTACTTGTTGTTGGGAAGTCATCTGCTATTAATCATCCGCCCACGTCACGCACGATCGCACTTGAAATAGATGGGGCAGCAATATATTTGGTGGGGTGGAGTGGTGTGGACCGAAAACTTTGGTGTAGTGTTGTGATCGTAGCCCTAACTATGTAAATAGCAATTGCTGCTATTACTTTTGTAATTTAGCGCCACACACACAATTTCAAGCGCACAGTTTATTTTCCCAAAAATCACATGATTTACTTTTTGCGAGTAGAAGTTGTACGGATGAAAATAGAGCACTATTTTATTATCCTGGAATACGGGTGCCTTGAAGTCCTCTGGTTGGGGCGAAGCTGGCGCAATTTCATCAGCCTGAGTGCTCATCTCGCAAATCTTCAGTATTCTAATGGCAGAGTAATTTTTAGTTATATCACAAGCGAAAAATGAAAACCGTTAACCGCGTGGCGTAGCCCCAGTTTCAGATCTGTATAGAAAAAAAGACGGCTTGCTCGCTAGGAACGACACAGAGCGACTAACCGCCAAAAGTGGAGTCATAAGAGCAATGAAAATGAATTCAACAACTGAAACCGCTCCGGCGTCTATTAATTTGCACTTTCGGTGAAGAGTAAACATTTGCGATTGTTGCTGTTGTTATTTATGGAAATGATTTGTGCTGCTGTTGGTTGGATTATTCGTCAACGATTCTTATTCGCTTCCAGCATTGCGTTGCTACTTGTTTTTTATTTATATTTATATTTATCTTTGCTTATCGGCTTACGATATCACGTATATATTTAATGCTCACTGTTTATAAAGCGATAAAGTGAGTTTTAACTTCAACAAGTATTATCTTTCCTTTTAGGTAAATGCCCCTGGAAGCGGCGAACATGTAAAGTGATATATGCACTTGTAAATTTTACAATTAATGATAAACATAGAAATAACAACAAAAAGTTAAATTTCTATATAAATGATAATTGAGCATATGTTTGTTATTTCGAATTAATCTAAGGGAAGTAATTATATCTTAATCACTCTTTAGCTTTATTAACCCTAATTTGTATAATTTTAAATCAAAAGTAGCAGTTTAAACAAATGATGCTGGAATTAAAAAATTGCGCTTTAAAAAGCTTTAAGCTTCACGGTGAATGGCAAAAATAAAGAGCAACAAACAAAACTTTGTACTGGAAACGCGTGGGTGGAACATGAATAGTTTAAACTGAAGAAGCAGTGAAAAATCAATCAATTGCAGAACAGTGCAAGCCCGAAAATAAATTTGGATAATGTTGCACCTGGGCAAACAGTTGGCCAGCAAAGCGCCAAAGCTTAATGCGATCGCCCCACACAGTTTGGCTGGTGTGAAAGTCCAAAGTTTCACGCACACAGCTGCACCGATTAGAAATCTTAATCAACATAATACGCACAACTCAAGCAACGTTAACCACAATTATTGCCATAAGCGCTTGTCCAGCGGCATTACCAGTCAAAGTTCGAGCAGCAGCATGAAGCGTTTAGCAGGCAAAGTTGCGGTGGTTACCGCCTCCACAGATGGGTGAGTTTAAAGCTGCCTTAAAAGTTAATATGTATATTATTATTTATGTATGCAATTGCAGCATTGGATTTGCGATTGCCAAGCGTTTGGCTGAGGATGGTGCCTCCGTTGTTATAAGCAGTCGGAAGCAAAAGAACGTGGACAATGCGCTTGCCGAGCTACGCAAATTGAATCTGAATGTGCATGGCCTCAAGTGCCATGTGGCCGAGCCGCAGGATCGCAAGCAGTTGTTCGAGGAGACCATTAGCAAGTATGGCAAACTCAATATTTTGATTAGTAATGCCGCCACGAATCCTGCTGTGGGCGGTGTGATGGACTGCGACGAGAAGGTGTGGGACAAGATCTTCGATGTTAATGTGAAGAGCTCATATCTGTTGGCGAAAGAGGCGCTGCCATATCTGCGACAGGAGAAGGGCTCCAGCATTGTGTTTGTCTCGTCAATTGCGGGCTACGATGCATTCGAGGTAAGTGGGTAATTAGATTTTCAGTTAAGCTTGATTTTAACCAATCTACTTATCTACTTAAGCTACTCGGCGCCTACTCTGTGAGCAAGACGGCACTGATCGGTCTGACCAAGGCAGCAGCTAAGGATCTGGCGCCCGAGGGCATTCGCGTCAATTGCCTAGCGCCGGGCATCATTCGCACCAAGTTCTCCAAATCGCTGTACGAGAACGAAGCTGCCAATGAAGCGGCCCTCAGCAAGATTCCTATGGGTCGTCTGGGCACAGGTGACGAAATGGCTGGCGTTGTCTCTTTCCTGGTCTCCGATGATGCTGCCTATATAACGGGCGAGACTATTGTCGCCTCTGGCGGAATGTCCGGTCGCCTATAATTGTAATAGAAGGAGAACTGATTCATGATTGCAAGTTTATTATACACATACTCATGTACATAAATACGTACCTAAGTCGTTATTTTTTGATAATAAAAATGGTTATCTAAGCAAAACTAAATTTATCTGTGTCTTGTTTTACTCTGTAGTAGATTAAATACTTTTATCGCATTATCACCTTCAGAAATCTGAAAGGATATGCAGACACATGCGTTTTTAGATCATAGTTCGGACATATCCTGAAGGATCTCGAAAGGACATATATTTTTGAGCTCTTAGACAAAAGGACTATTGGCTAAGGACTACCGGAAATTAAAGATTTGGCTGACTTAGAGCCATTTCAAAAACAGTTCTTATTCATCCTGGAAGTATGCTTTACTTTTTTGATATTTCGCAAACAATGTTTACCATTCATGTTATTTTTCAGCCTCAAAGTATGCCATTAAATAATAAATTATCTAAACTTACAATTAATTTCAATGGAAAATACACATTTCAATTTAACTTCCCTTTTATTAATTTTTTCATCTTTAGTGCAATTGTGTATTATGTAAAAAGCCTTGAAATTCATTGGAATATATCTATTTATCATTATAATAATTTTAAGGGCTATTAAAAGTCTTACAAAAACGTACAAATTGATAATAAAAAAAGCGTTTCGAATGTGATGCATTTATTTACTTATATGTTTATGTCTTATAAAATATGAATAACAAACGTGCTTGCACAAATTTAAAATATAGTTGTGGGGGAGATTAAGCACAGCAAAAAAAGGTTATAATATATTGACTAGGAAGATCGTAGCTTGGCCAACTGATCGGCAATATCCTTTTCTGTGCGTTTGCCGCTGGTCTCGAACTCGGCGGAGCCCGTGGCTGGTATGCTAGACATTTTTCCAGAGATTTCAATGCCAATTTCATCAAGCACCTTGTTGACCACATCATTGGATTCTTCCTCATCGCCGGACTCGGTGAGCATGTCATCCAGCGTATCGTTGATCATTTCGTCAGTCATTTCCATGCGCATATTCGCCTGCTGAAAGTCACGCACAGTGCCAGCTATCGCCTCCGGACGCATTACCTTATTCATGCTGGCCATCGTCTTGGCTGTGGTGCCCATTGCCTCGCCCAGTGCTATGTTGGCGCCCATATTTTTGTTTTGATAGCCAATGGATTGTATCTTGCCCGAGGCAGCATAACTACGTGCCTTCTGCTTGCGAATCTCCACCAGTTGCTTGGCCAGAATGCGGCAGGCATCGTTGTTGCCAGCGGCTGCATTGCGTCTGATTTCAGCCTCTACTTTTTTCTCCTCCTCCTCCATTTTGCGACGTTCTCGTTCAATGTCACGGGTCGCTTTGCGCAGATTGCGATCATTGTCGCGTTGCTGCTCCTTGACGGTAGGTTTCTTGCCAAATATGTTGTTAAACATTTTCTATATATATAATAAATTCTTAATTTTTGCTATCTGAACGGGAAAAAAGATGAATCACTTCTGAGGCTGGCGCTTTGTGCGTGTAAATACCAAAACAAAAGCAGCTGTTGCTGTGGTAGATGTTTGCGTTGCACTGTGAATGTCAAAACTTGCGAATCGCAAATTTGGAAAGAATTCGCTTTTGTATTTTTCCGGCATTTACGTGATTTTACAAGTTAAATATGGCATTAGAAATAATAAAGCAGGGCGCTGAGGGGCGCTTATATCTTGGCGAATACAAAGGCGAATCGTGTTTGATTAAAGAGCGATTTGTGAAGAAATACCGTCATCCAGAGTTGGACACACAAATAACAAGGCAGAGGATGAAGGCCGAGGTGAAGGCTGCTGGCCGTTGTCTAGCTGCTGGGATTCTTGCGCCAAAGATTCTGCACTCCGACCTCAACACACATAAACTGTATATGGAGTACTTTGGCAGCGCCCAGACAGCCAAGCATTTTATACAGCAAACAGTCGCCAAATCCGGGGAGGAGCAAGCAAAGCAGCCGCTGGAAGAGCTATGCAGGCGAATAGGCGGCATCATTGGGCAAATGCATGCGAATAACGTAATCCATGGTGATCTGACCACATCCAATATACTAATAAATCCGACACCGAATTCAAGTGATGGCTACGACATCATCTTTATAGATTTCGGCCTGAGTCACTACAATCAGGCGACGGAGGATAAGGGCGTTGATTTGTATGTCTTGGAACGGGCGCTTCTCAGCACACACAGTGAGCAGCCCTATCTTTTCGAACACATCCTCGCGGCATATCGCAAGACGTGCGGCAAGGATGAGGCGGCCGTCCTGGCCAAGTTTGAGGAGGTGCGTGCGCGTGGTCGCAAGCGCACAATGATCGGCTAACAATATCAAAATATAACGAATACTTTAATAAACAAAGTTCAAAATTACATTTAATGACTATTCTATTCTTTTTACTGGCTCTGACAAGTGCGGATCGTCCTGCAGCTCATCGATTTTGATTTTCTTTATATATTTGCGTATTTTTGTTTTGCGCTTCACTTGCTCGTGCTTTGCAGTCTCTAGCCCGGTTACCGGTGATTCCTTGAACTGTGCATAAGGACGTTGCTTCAGCTTGGCAACGGCATCTTCCAGCTTCAAGCCCGACAGGCCGTGCTCCTCGTAAAACAGGCGATATTTATCACAGAATTTCGAGTGGCCTTTTTTAAAAGCTTCGGTCTTGGTTGAGGGATGCTGGAAAGAAGGTGATTAGCTAGGGCTATATATAAACTGTGTATTTAAATTATGTACTCACCCTGGCATCAATGGCTCTGGCACAACCTCTGTGAAAGTTGTGGAGATGCCGCAAAAAGGCTTCATTCGGTTGAATGCTCTCCTCCAGACTGAGTTGCATGATCTCATTGATGTATGCAAATGATTTCTGGGCACATCCCTGGCGCAACATGGCGCCCAATATGGGCATATTCATACGTATGCCTGCCGCCTGCATCTGCTGCAGCAGCTCGCGCGCCTGATCCTGGCTGCGACAGCCCAACGCCAGAACCCCATACGTTACAATATCCGGCTGCAGGCCAGCTGTGCGTATCATTGAGAGGACCTCGCGTGCGCTCTCATAATCGAAGCGCATCGAGCGCTTCTTGATGAGTATATTGAAGAAATCAATGTCCGCCTTGAGTCCAATTTTGCGCACAAAGCTCAACAGCTGCTTCTCCGCCGCATTGGTTGGGGGTATCACCTCCAGAATGGTGGTGAAACACTCAATGTTGGGCGTCACTTTGTGTAGTTTCATCAGCTCCAGATAACCCGTAATGCCGCCCAGCAATAGGAAACGCTCATGAGCCCGTGTCACTTCAGTTAAGGCAACCAAACTGCCCAGTTGGGGGCGTGGCAGCAGCAGATTAGGTAGCTCCAATTGATCGGAAGGTGAATTAGCCAGTTCCAGCTGGGCAGAACTATTCCCAGTGGTGGGTAAACTATCAGTAGGAATTGTTGTTGCTGTCAGTTGCTCTGGTTTAGTTGACACAGCATCTGGCGCTATCTGTTCCAGCACCAGTTGCATGTCTTGCAGATCACCAAAGCCGCAATCTCGCACGCAGCGCAGCATGGCATTAAAGCTGTAAAAGTCTGGACTTATGCCGCGCTTCAGCATTTTGTGCCAGGTCAAAAGAGCGTGTCGAAATCCTTGCTGCTCATCACTTGCACAGGCTTGCAGCAGAAAATTGAAGCTGTCCGCATTCAGAGGCAGCTGACGCTCTAACAGCTCATCGGCCAACATGTAGGCAGTTTGGATGTCGCCACAGCGACCGTATGCCTTGATCATTGCATTGTAGTTCTTCACATTCGGCTCGTAGCCCTTCTCCAGCATATTCTCCCGCAGTTGACGGGCCTTGGCCAGTCCATCCAGCTGGGTGGGCGCATTGGCACACGCATTGAACAGGGAGGTGTAGGTGCCACCGGTCACCTTGAGGCCACGTTGACGCATCTTGGTGTAGAGAGTAAATGCTTTGCGTGTGTAACCCGCCTTGGCGCAGCCGCTGATCAATAAATTGTATATATAGTTCTCCGGCTTGACACGATCCTCACGCAACATGCGCACCTCCAGCACGGCAATGGCCTCATTGATGCGACGTGCATTCAGATGTTCCTTTATCAGACTTGCATACTCTTTGGTTCGTAGTTTTCTCGAGTGTCGCGAAGGCCTGCTTATAAATTCCTCCTCCTGCACGTCACCGGCATCTTGTGTCTGGGTGTCACTGAACTTGGCATCGCCAAAGGTATCCGGATCACCAAAGTCGGTAACTGTTTCTTTTGTAGTAATCACTTCATCCACTCTTGACAGTTGCTCGGTTCTTTGAATTTTGCTACGCATTCGTTGTCTAGGCACTTCTGATGGCTGTTCTTCCAGTGTTCTGTCTTGAAAAGGGTTTGCAGATCGATTTGATTCACGTTTTGTTTGCAGCCCAGCTTCCTGATCCGTAATACGCACGTGCAGCAGGCGACTTTGTTTCCAGCACCGGTTCGTAATTTGAGTTTGGAGACCAAGTATTCCATTTGCATGCAGGGAGCGCCCTGTTGTGTGTTGCTGCAGATGGCGTATGTGTGGCATCAATGCTGCGCCGAAAAATCGCAGCGCCATTATTGTAATTGCAATTTTCTCTTATTTTTATGTAATTTAACAAGTTTTTAAATGTGCATGCCGCTGAACATTAAATAAAGTAAAGATGAAGAAGCATTTACCATTCACATTAAGTTGCAGGTTTGTGAGTGGATTACAGCTGATTTGCATTGATGTGGCAACGTCAACACATTCCCTTTGCACTGCCAAAGAAAATTGTTTTTTTCATCCGCTTCAAGAGCTAAATTAAATTGGATTAATAATGAGTTTCACTGTCGATCCGCGCCGCAAAGAGAAAATAGTTCGCTATAAGGCGCCCAAGAATCAAGGACAAAGCGGCGGCGTCAATGAAGACATGATGCCGGACTATATGAATATACTGGGCATGATTTTCTCCATGTGCGGTCTGATGATGAAGGTGAGCCAGCAACTCTCACTTATTATTGTCATTGTAATTTATTTATTATGTCCGATAGCTCAAGTGGTGCGCCTGGTTTGCGCTCTACTGCTCCTGCATCAGCTTCTCCAGTTCTCGCGCCAGCGACGATGCCAAACAGGTGAGTTACGTGCATTAATCATTTTATGTACGATATTATATATGTTATATTCCAGGTGCTGTCCTCGTTCATGTTGAGCGTGAGTGCTGTTGTCATGTCATATCTACAGAATCCAGCTGCGATGACACCGCCCTGGGCGTCATAATAATTCCAATATTTCCACTTTTTGTTCTTTTTCTGATCTGCTAGTTTAATGAATGGAACTTTATTTCACTCCAGAAATCAAATGACAGTTGCTTGGGGTATAGAGCAAATTAAATAAATTAACCACAGAAGATTTGTTTGTTTAAAATAATTTGGCTAAAAGAAATTTGTAAATTTGTAAAGTAGGTTTTAGCATCTCGCTACGTGTTGAGTATGTAATAGGCAAACAGAATAAAAGCCAAAATGTAGATGGTACCAAAGATGAGCACGTATTAAATCTCTCCGAAATTAGCATGACCCGTGGACTTGGCATGTTGCTGGGCCTCCACCTGGCCCACCAGCAACAGATCGCACTGTAAACACCGCAAATTGAACTTGTCCACATTGGTGAATTGTCGCGAGGACTTGGCCTCGTTGGCCAACTGCTCGGCTTGCTCGTAGACGCCCAGCTCGTCAACGGGAAACATGGTAGCTGGTGCGGCACTTGGCGACGTCTCCATATACAGCGGGTCATAGTGGATCCCATCGAAGAGCAGGAAGACCCGCAATCCGAAATTCTTGTCCTCACCGAAGCGATTGATGATCGCATTCTGTATATCAACCACATCGATTTCGATGCCATAGTAATTGGACAATATGGACACCTCAATGGCACCGCCCCACGAATCCGCCTTCTGTATCCAGGCACAATACTCCGCATTCGATTTGCCCAGCACGGCATCATTATATGATTGGGGATCGGCGGCCACCTCGGTGGCAATAATGTGACGCATCATCTCGCTGCCCTCGTTGTCCACCTTGCCGTTGAGCACAAAGCGTATGCTTGTGAAAAGGCACGAGTTATCCGCTGGGACCACTTTCTTCAATAGTATTCCATTGAAATCACCATTTGGTCCGGTTTCCACTGGCGCGGATAGCGAAGCGCTCTCATTGCTATTGCTGCTGCCGGCGCTCAGTTCGGGATTGTTGGCGGCTGTGACCACCTGACGCAGTTGCTCCGCATCCTCCTCCGCCTGTAGACGACGCGCCAGCGCCTCGTCATCCTCAATGGTTGATGCGGCGGCGGCGGCGACGGCAGCAGCAGCAGATCTTGCTACATTTGTTGATGGCGCCGCCTTCTCCTCGACAATTAACGTTTCGCCGCTGTTGATACCAACGGAGCGCAAATTGCGCTGCTGCTGCTCATTGAGATCGAGTGGTCGCGGCGGATAGCCGACGAGCACGTGCAGCTGTGGCTCACCGATCTCCGTCGCCTCGGCTATCCGCGTTTTCAGTTCAGCTAGTGTTGTGTTCTCGTTCAGGTCATTTACAATGAATTGACCTTTTTTCGATTTTAGCTTCACACTGAACGAACCAGTCATGCTTTCTTTCGATTATCTGCTCTCCTTCTGCTTGCCGAAAAAAACGTTACTCAATATTTCAGGTGCGTGTATATGTTGGAATTTTGACTTGATTTGGTCAAGTGTTATTGTCTAATAATTTTATAAAATCTTTTTTGCTTATTGTTTAATATGGGGTAGAGATGGCAGTAGTTAAGTATTTTTTCGTTTCAGCATCACTTGGCGTTGCCACGTTGTTCAATTGTGCTTTCTGTTATGTGAACTCATCTTAACATTTCTGTTAACAGAAATGTACTAAAAGATACCAAAGCCGGTTAAGTTTTGAATTCAAACTTCTCTTCCGCGCATATTTGTTTGAGTATTTGAATTATGATTTTGCTAAATTTCTAATAGCAATGTGAAACAATTATCATTAAATTTGTAGTCCGCGCATGTTTGTGTGTCTATTTTGAAAATGATTCTGCAAAATTTCTAATAGCAATGTTAAACAATTATCATTAAAGCGACTTGTGAAATTCACTTCGACCCTGGGGGAATTTACACAAATATTATTTGTCAAAGGCAAACAGTTCTTTCGGTGCCAAAGACAAGTTTAACGTATCCATTTATGCTTCAGCTAATCAGTTAAGATGATACAGCTATTAATTTCCAACTAAATCGTCGATAATACTAACGCTATAAAAATCGCTAATAAGTATTTAGTGAGAGAGCGGGGACGGGGGCAGCCAACGTCTAATGGTCAAATCAAATAAAACTTAACTAGAACCAAGGAAACATATATTAGCGAAAAGCCAAGTCGAGTCAACAAAACAATTTGCCATCCAACTAGATCAACAATGGGACAAATAACAATACAAGCAACAAATAGCGGCATATACAAAAAAAAAAAAAAATCAAATACAAAGAATACAAAAAATAAGAGAAGAGAAGATGGAAAAAATAGTTTGGTTTGCTTTATATTTTGTTGTTGGTATTTTTCCAGACCCATGCGAACGAACACCTTGCGTGGTACACTAAAATCACATTTAATAGTCCAAACAAAATTTATTGTCGAAGATACACGAAATTTGAGAGCTTCCATTGTGACGATGTGTTGTTTTAATCTCTATGAAAGGCGTACGCGCTTGCGTACAGCTCCGAGGCATATAAATAGTTGGACGAGTGGGGTATTATGCTCAGTGCAAGTCTGTCAACGCGAAACGCGAGATCATCAATTAAACTCTCAGTGACCAGTCAACAAAGGACTCTATCAACAATGAAATTCTTGCTTTTGGTGCGTCTCAGCCCCAACATCGATTCTCTTGGATAACACTTTCAACTAATTGTGTGGATTATATTTTAACTACTTACAGACCGTGTTCTTGTGCCTAGCCGTGTGCTTCATGGCAACCAGTGCTGTGCCCGTGGAGGAGGCCATACCCGAGGGACTCGAGGGTCCTGGCAACGAGCCAATTAGCCCCAGCGACGATCAGTCCTTCCTGCTCAAGCTGAAGCTGCTCAAGAAGCTGCTCTTCCTGGGCTAACTGCCAATTATATATATGGACTTTTAGTATATGTTTTGTGTCTAGTTATTAAGAAACTTTAATAAAAATAATTTTAAACAAACTTATTTCTTAGTTTTTTCATTGCTTTGAAAAAAGTGTGCTCAAGTTCGTATCCAAAGTCATTTGATTAAGTAAGCTGCGAAAAAAAACTGATGGAGAAAAAAGGTACTACACATTTCTACGAGAATTTAATGTCTTAACACATATATGGAATTTTTTAAATTAAAAAAAAAAAACTAAATTGAACCACATAAAACATTAGTTTAAACATTAATTTTAATAGTAGCGAAATTAGTAGTTGAGGCCTAGGGATATTTTCAACAAATATTTTGTAAGAGCATTTAAATATATGCTTTAGTATAAGAAATTGGTTAAGGTTACGTGAAAACGGGTTGTTCATAATTAAAACTAATTAACATGAGAGCCCACAGGTCTGTAAGCAACTCTAGATGCACAGGCAACACATAACTTGACATTAGCTCCATTTTTGCAGAGTTTCAATTACATAAGTATTTCAAAATCAGTAATGTGAGACAGAGTGTTTAGTTTAATGAGTACATTTATTTAGTTACGTTTACGAATAAGCTGTAAATGCAAATTGATTTGTATATTTAAAAGCCCAAGTGGAGAGGTTACGTTCCTAGTTTGTTGTGCGTAAGTGTGTGTTGAGTGTGTGCAGTTTGTACATAGACTAGAGACAACGGGTTTTTATGTGGACAGCCTTGTGGCATTTAACCGAGCAGCAGCTTCTTCAGTTTCTTCAGCTTGAAGATGGCCTGGGGATCGTAAGGATTGTGCACACCATCATCAGACGGAGCATAGATGTTGTCACCCTGGAGCGTCTCATCAACGGGTACAGCTGCCACCAGAGCCACAGCGAGCAGACAAACGTAAAGGGCCTGCAAAATGATTAGTCCTTGAGCAAAAAGGAAACACATGATGATCATTTTGTGGAGACACTCACCAAAACAATGTACTTCATTCTGAATGGTTGTAGTTGAGCTGGTTAATCCAAAATTTGACTGCACTTGTTGGCCGCAATGCCGGTGGCTTTTATACCCAAGAGGGACCCCATCCAGCAATGATAATGTCATATATAAACTGCACATGTTACATTGCCGGTTTTGGACAAGCGGCCAGGAATGGCGATACATAAACAAAGGTGCGTGTAAAAACGAGTCTGGTCAGCAAAAAGAAAAAAACAAAAAAATTAACGAAAATTGCAAATTACTTGGACGTGCACACAGTTTTTGGGCCCTGCCGAGCAAATAATACATATGTATGTATATTAATAAGGTACAACTGCTGCACCAGCAACAGCAACAACAACAACTACAGTCAAGACACGCCTGTTTAACTGTTTGCATTGGCTTGGTCGGCACTAAGAGCCAAGAGTCAAAAGCCAAATGTTGGTCACTTGTGCCACTGAAGAAGTCTTTTGTAAGCCACTATTCAAACAATCTTTTAGCTAAGTAGATTCAATCATTTCAGATTTACACAGTTGATGACTGAAGGTTATGTCCATAGCAATCTTATTCACAAATCGGTCAATGAAGCCAAGTGCAAAGCGTATATAGTTTACCTAAGCACAATATTTATTATTGTTTGCGGAAGCATGAATAAACTTGCGAGACTAATAGCTTCATATTACAAATACCTATAATCTAGGAAGTTGTTAAGCTTGCACTCGGTCGTAAGCTAAGTAAAATTCCTATCATAAATGTCAAAAATAATATGCATATATATATATTGAACAATAAAACGTTATCAGAATTCGTTCTACCTACTTAATTACCTTCGTTTCTAAATGACAGAAATAGCCGACATTGGTTGTGAACTTGTAAAATTCACACTTCAAATTAAGCAATCATTGGACTAGTCAATTAAAATCGATTTGGATTGGAAATAAACCACAAAATATAAATATTTAGCACCTAAATCTGCCATCAAGCCCAAAGATATAAGAGTTAAGTCGACATGCGAGTCAAGTAGAAACAAGAATCGAAACCGAAACCGAAAAGAATAAACGGAAAGGAACCACAATAACAACAATAACACAATTAGAGGTCAATATTCGAGCTTAGTTTTATATCTTTTAGGATATCTGCTGACTGGAGGCTGCCGTCAAAGTCAAAATCTTTCCACATTTACCAACATTTTTGTGTATAAACATTGACAAATGTTGTGCAGGTCGAGGAGCGGAAGCGAATGCAGATTTTGAGAGTATTCTGTAAGTTGTATATGCATACATGACTAAGCACATTTGAGCCAAACCGCTTAAAGATGTGAATTTAACACAGATATATATGTAAATCCAAGTATTTATGCAAACGATGCCAAATACTGCTTTAACTTGGAGCAGACTGAAGGGTTTAGGTTTCGGCCTGTTTTGTTAGCGCTTTGAATGATTAGACAACAAATTGGTTGAATGCTTTTTGATCGAATCATCGCGATTAAATTAAAGCAACGTCATGAGACGTCGGCTTGTCTGTGAGTACCGCTCGACACGATTGTTAACCCGTTTTTTTGCCCATGAGCATATCAATTAGCTGATGTATTAAAGGGCGTGGTTTCAGCTATATAAACTATGAGATGCCAATTTATGCATGTATCTCATTCGCTATGCTTGTGAATATGGGTATTTTGCACAAGTTGACGAGATTGTGGATTGTTTAGGTGTCGCAAGTGTCTGGGAATTGGTTGAAAAAAAGTGCGTAACATTCATTTCACTTTTGACAGCAAATCATGCCACACAAATGATGGCCATAAAAGATATAATGTGGCTAACAACTTTAACAAGCTCATAGGGCAATTTAGATTCGATTGCGAGTCAAATTTGAAGTGAGCACGCAACGGTTTTTGGATGTCCACCTGGGATTATATATTGGCCATATATATGTGTGACATTTATTCTTCATAGAGTTGACAGTAATGTGGGCACATTGCGACAAGCGACCTTTGGCTAAATAATAAACACAGCATTTTGGCAAAGTACGAACAAATCGTTGATCAACTCTTTAGCTGCTAAAGTGAAACAAATCACGCATATTAACTCCCGTTGAGCGTTGAAGTACAAATGAGCCGATAAGAATCTGGGCAGTTGGGGTTCAATATAACCAACGTGCTTGGCAAACAAAACCATTAGGTCAGGCGACGTGGCGTGACTGAAGTAAAGTTAAACAAATAACGCATTTGCAAACTCTAAAATGAAAGCCATAAACCGCAGTTTAACCAAACTGCACAAACTTCGTATGTATCCATATAGAGGAGTACTGTTCTTCGCCTGCATAACAGCTCAGGGGTTTGGGGTGAGTTCTGTGCAGGTTCATTAATATTTAATAGTAATAATATTGATTCTTATTAAATCTTAGCTTAATTTACAAATTCATGAGTTCTACTCGAAGTCTTTTGTACCCAATGAAATACTTATCAGTTATAATGTAGAGAACATGGAGGTTCTCACCTACAATTTGACCGTTAAGGAGCACTTCCCTGGTAAGCTGCTGATGCACGTCTTTGTTCGTAGGCTAGACGATGTGCCCGGCGGGTCGCACACCTACGACTTGATCAAATTCAAGAACTTGGATTTTTGTAAGACACTCGATTCGTTGCGTAATATGACCATAGATGATGTACAGGGCGAGTCTTTATTACCATCTACGTTCTTAATGTCCTGTCCATTGATGCCGGGCTTTTATTACGTGGACAAAACATATATCACTGAGAATGCGTTGCCCTTGAACATCGTTGATGGCAGATACTTAGCCCAATTCGAACTGATTCAGGTCTACGAAGAGGTAACCAGATTAATGAACTGCAAACTGAAGCTGACCAAGAAGTCTTTTGACACAGAGATGCAGATACAAATCGGAATAGAAGAACATAAAGCAAGCTAAGATATTAACATGATAATTTTATGACATTTCACTTAAAACAACAACAAAAATGTTGGGCTATAAGTCTTTAATAGCTTAATAATAAATCTAGCAAGTGTAGGCTTACGAAGCAAAAGTCATTATTCAGTTTTATTTTTATTTGTTTGAGTTTATCACAAAACCTTGATGTAAACTGTACGCATGAATTTACATGCAATTCAGAAATCTGAAATCAGCTGATGAACTTGAACCAAAAACACAGTTGCGTATAAATTATGCGAGGCAAATAGAAACTGAAAACGTGGACAAACAAAATGCGAACCCGAAAATATCACCGAAATAAATCATAGCCCCAAAGAGAGTCGCATGCAAGCCAGCAGCCATAAATTAAAGTGCCGAGTATTTTTATTGCAATTCGCTTGTTTGTACCAACAAATAACAAGTGCAAACAACGCTGAACAGCGCAGCAAAGAGCGTGCGGGACGAGCTGGTCTTAAGCCACAAAGTACAGTGAAAGTGACGTAATGCGGCGTTGGGAATCGCAAAGTATACACACAAAAAGAAGAGTAGAAAATAAAAGCATTAATCGACGACAACAAAGTAAAATGAAAAAGAAAGAAAGAAAGAAAAAAAAATGTCAATTTCTTTAACAGCAGCGGAAACGCTGTAAGAAGAAGCAGCAACAGCAACAGCAGCAGCAGCAGCCACCAAAGACGGACCATTGGATATGGCCATTGTCAAACGTAGCGTATACGTAATCTGTGTGTGTTGTCAGTGTTTGAGGTTGTGTCAGTCGTTGTTGCTGTTGTTGTTTTAATTTATTATGCACACACACAAATTGCACATGCATTCGTACAACCAAAACTGCGGCGTACATTTATTTACTTTTGTTGGTTTCTTTCTTTTCTTTGTTTTAGCCTTATATGCGCTTGGTTTTTATCGCCTGCATTTACAATTCAATGTCATTGTATTGTTTTTTCTCTTTTATGGTGTATATATATAAATATATATATTTCGAAATTGCCAAACTTAAGAAGAAGAAGAAGCAACACATCCACAACAATAACAACAACAACAAGAGTACAGCGTTCTGTAACCGGTTTGAGCCATGTAACTGACTGCAGTTTCAATGTTAATTTTAGGCTGTGGTCGCCTGACCTTGAAACCTGTTGCCAACATGCAATTGCGCCGTCTGTGCCTGTGGTCAAGCTCTTGCATTATGTAGTCGTCGAGTTCATCAAGTTTTTGATGCTGCCCGCTCCCAATAATTATTGTTATTAACTATAACTACACATATATTGTGTGGTCAGGCTATCGAACAGACAATCTGAACGATGGAGGCGTTTGCAGTTTTCCGCTTGATTACAGCTCAATTTGATAATATAATGTAACAGTTGGCGCTGAGCTGATCAAAAATCTAAAGCGGCATTGATATGTTAAGTCAAAATAAGTTACATTTAATTATTATTATGGATTATAGCTTTATGAAAAGTTGAGCATAAAATCGTGTACAAATTGTCTGAAGTTTTAAATCTTTACAGTCTTTGATACAGAGACACACATAGAGAGGTAAGACTGTCTTTTGTTTGTTTCTCAAAATTAAATACAGTATTGTTCTAAAGCGAAAACAATGATCAAAAAGTCATTGCTTTTGGGATCTGGTTCAGTTTGGAGCAACTGGCGTGTTTCAAAGTTTAAATGCAGTATTAACACAGTTGTGGAATATTTTGACCCATCCCTAAATGACATAAACTTATCTTATCGTAACAAATCACAATACTCCCTCCGCAAGGGTAATAAAATCGAGGTCTATGACATTTAACTTGCAAGCCTCAACTGCCTAGCATAATTTGATTGCTTTTATAGTTGTTGAAATGGATTTGTCAATACAATGATGTCAGTCAGCAGGCATTCGTATATTCGTTGATTGATTTCAAAGGTCAAAGTCAATGTGCTGGAAGGTGTTGCAATAAAGAAAAAAAACTACGTTTACAATACTAATTAAATATTGTTTTCAGCCACATGTTGATTTAGCACTCGGCAGTGGCAAATATGCAGATGAATTGAGCGACAAACAAAGTTGGCAACTTACAAAAAATGTGTTCGTCTAACTGGCGATCAGAATGTGCGCGATGCGGTTGCTTACCGTACGTAAGCAGCTGTGTGTAACTGTGTGTGCTTTTAGATAGAATGCAAATTCCCGTTAATTGAACGCCAAACAAAAGCGCAGCATCAGCAGCATCTGCACCAGCAGCAGCAGCAGCAGCAGCAGCAATGCAACAAAAACAACAATGGTTTTGGAAAATCAATTAGCAGTATAAAATGCTTTTGCTTAAAGCCGGGACCCGGTTAGTTTGTTGCAGCTACTGCTGCTGCTGGTATCAGTGTGGTATGTCAACATACTCCTCTTTTGCTAGTTCTTCCCTCTCCATTAAATCTCCCTCCCGCATGGAACGTGCAAATATATCGAGCGAACAGTGGGAGCAGTGAAAAACCGCAGCTGCTGCTTTAAATTTATGCCAGCGCGGCATTAGAAGCATAGTTTGCGGTTACAACAAATGCGGCAAGGCGGTGCGGAGGTGGCACGCGGAGGCGTGGCATATTGACTAGGTATTTGGCATGAGCATAGTGTACGGCCAAACCAAAGCGAAATGCAAGAAATCAAGGCTGATGATGTGGGCGGGGCATCCACAAAAGGGAAACATATATATACTTATATATATATATACATACATATATATAAAAAGTGGCTCGCTTTTATGAATATTTATAACACAATGGAGCATGAAAAAGTTGTTCGGGGTTTTATGCAATGAATGTATGCATACAATCATATTTCTCTGCATGTGTATGTGTGTGTGTGTGTGTGTGCATGCATTTAAGGCGTTGACTGTGGGCGTGTTGGCCCAGTGCATGTTATCGTTATCGATGCGTTGACAGTGACAGGCAACAAAAGGGGCTCAAACAATGCCAGCGAGAAAGGTACGAGGACAGCAAGTTTATTGTTGGGATTAATAATGGCAATTTATACTATAATGGAGATGTTAAGAAGAGAACTGAATGCATAATGACGATGTAAGAGATACTCTTGGAGAGATTACTTACAAATTACGGAAACAATTACACAATTTGTTTTTTATTGCAACTTGCTGGCCAATTTGTGCAAATTAGTCAGTGAGATTATCATAATTATCATTGAGTCTGTGACTTGAGAATTATTCTTGCCAGTAATACAATTAAATAAAAGTAGATAACCCCTCCTTGATGTACGCCTCTACATCAAACTAAATTTGTGTTTACTTCAATGCTCTCATTGTCTTTTTCAGCTAGGAGTCTCCGTTTACATGCAAATCAGACTGCCAAAGAGAAAGTGCATTAATTTTTCCATTTCTGTATGCATGCGGAATTGAAAGTTGAAATCTTCAATATGCAAATGCTTTGTTAACCTATATCCCTTTGTTCAACTTAAATATCCATAGCAACGTCAAGTACTAGCCATATGCCATGTCGTACGGCTTGTGCAAATTAAAAATGCAGATAAAGTTTAATATGGATATTGCATATTACGCATACGCCATATAAGCCGCCAGCTATTGGATTGTAGCGTTGTTAATAAAAATGCGACTTACAGAAATGACTGAACAAATATTTAAAACAAATGCTGTGCAAATTATGAAATGCATATTTGCGTAAACTTCTTGGTTGTGTGGCAGTGCAAAGGGAAACTCAAATATTGATTGCTCCAAGTTCCAAGGCACGTGCCGCTGCTTGCGCCATCTAGCGGTCGCCGCATGCAAATTGCAAAATCAGTGCGTGACTTGTGAGATTAAAGAGCAAAGCTTGCCAAAAAAAAAACAGCACTTAAGTTTTTCCTAATGTTAACAGAATTAAATAAAAAAAATATTCAATTAGCTATGGCAACGAACTCAACTAACGGTACTTTTTTTTGGTAAATTAGCGTTTCAATTGAACGCCCTTGAAGGCGACGCACACGTGTAATGCCTCAAACAAAAGATAGAAAAGCAACAGCAATTTTATAAAAGGGCTAATAGCGAACTAATTTGAAATACCTGACCAGCCGTGACTTTTATGTGCCGTCCATATTTCATATTTTTTTTTAGTTCGTTTCAATCGTTTTATGTTACCAATTTGACAACAATAATAGTTAACTATTACGACAAGAAATTCACAAGAAAAAAGGCTGACCAACGACCGGCAAACTGTCAAAGTCAAAGACTAACAAGAGTCACCGCCAATGCCCCACTTCACTTCACTTCACTTTACTTTACTCCATCGCACCACGCCCTCTTTATCTCCCTGCAGACAGTCAACAAAAGCCTTAACGATTGCCAGTTTCACTTAGTATTCTCATCTCAATTTTTATTTGTCTTTATATATATATATTTGAAGACATATATTTTTGTGCATTTCTTAAGTTGATTTTTGTGTTTCGATTGCAGTAAAAAATATGTAGCGCAAACTTTTAGTTTCTTGCTCAAGTTGAGCAGGGGAAAGAACGTGGGACGAGGGACGAGGGGCTTGTCTTGGTCATTTGCGTTGTTCAAAAGTTTTGTCAGTTTATCAATTTGTTTGGTTTGCCTTTTAAAAAGTTTATTGAATTTGGCCACAGGCATATTTGTGTGCATACATGTATGAGCTGCTGAAATATGTTATTTTAAATATCAAATATTTTAAAAGGTTTTCTGACAGATGTATTAGTTGAAAATCTGTATAAATAAAACTTGGTTTTATTATAAATTGAAATATGTGGATGAGTGTGTGTACCGAACTGTGCAATTATTAGCTTAAGTGTTTAGGTGCTTTTGCTTAAATTAAAATTGAAATGGTAAGGAAACAGTAATGAAAGCTTTCATCTATAAATTTCAATTTGTCTCAGGCTTTCCTTTAATATATACATAACTTCAACTCATTTATATACATTTAAAAGCCATTTGGGACACTATCTGATATAGATATTCCCTCTCAACTATCAACTGCAAACCACGCGGCAACCATGTGGC